CATCCCATCCCCATCACCTGGCTCATCCCAGCCGCATAACTTGGCTCACACCAGCTCCATCACTTGTTTCCTCTCAGCTCCATCCCTTGGTTCATCCCAGCCCCATCCCAGCCAAAGGAGGGGCACAAGGAATCTGTTCCCACAGGGAAAGGGAAGCTGCAGAGTTATCCCAAGGGCTCCTGGTTTCCTGGGCAGAAAGGCAGCTACAACCCAGGTTTCTGGGATAAAGCGTTTCCCAGAGGAAGGCTGACCAGAGCCATAAACATCTGTGGCCTTTCAGGGAATGTCTCCCACAGAATGACCAGGTTGGAAGAGACCTTCAAGACCATCAATCTAACCCAGCCTCAACAGCTCAACTAAACCCTGGCACCCAGTGCCACATCCAGGCTTTGTTAAACACACCCAGGGATGGGGACTGCACCACCTCCCCGGGCAGCCATTCCAGAACTTCATCACCCTTTCTGTAAAAAACTTTTTCCTGATATCCAACCTGTATTTCCCTTGAAAAGCTTTTCCCCCTTCCTAACCCCTTGAACTGCAGTAGATGTATCTGATTTGGCCCCTACAACCAGCAGAAATTCAGGATGTCTTCAGCAAAATAGTTTTGCATTATCCTAAAAATCCCATCTGGAAAGTGATGACAGTTTGTTAATTAGGCCTTATTGATTAGCACCTGCTTAAGAGAGGAACGTGGGACAAAGTGTGGGTGCAGCCACAGGTGCCCAGATCACCTCCATGCAATGGGCACTTGCTCCAAAGCTTCTTTAAAAAAGAATCAACCATCAGAGGGGTTAAACAGCAACTGGGGAATTAATCTTGAAGAAAAAGGAGCTGAACAAAAGTATTAAAAAAGCACAATTGTTGATGAATCAAATAAGTCAATACAGTCGCCTCTGTTCCAGAGAGCCTCACGAACAGGCCTGTCAGACCTCAAGCTGGAGATGCAGACTGAGAAGAACTGCCCCAAAAATGGGTTTGAGGTAAATTTTATGGCTTTCCTTGGCCTCCATGCCAGAGATTCCCTTCCACACAGGGATTTCCAGCAGCCTAAGCCACGACTTGTCCTGCACAAAGAGCATTTAATCACACCCAGCTCTGCTTTTTAATCACCTCCCACCTACCCTTATCCAATTTCCTCACACAAGTGTCCATTTTACAGCAAGGAACAAAGGAGGTGAGAATCCCCAGGGTTTGTTCAGCACAGAGATGTTGAAATCTCACTAAAATGAGATTTTTTCACTCCCACTGCAGTGAAAACCAGGCAGGGAAAAGACATTTTTAAGGCACAACCTGCAGCAGGTAAATAAAAAGCTGCTCTTCCCACTCCAAATATGTTCAGGGGAGATTCTGTAGCAGGCAGCCAGAAGGAACAGGTTTTCCCCCCAGGAAATTGGGAAAGCCCACAGTGATTTAAAATAATACTGAGCCAAATCTCAAGAAAAACAGAATTTCATGTTTCATCTTTGAAGGGAGGCACAGTAATTCCGTGGGGTGTGGGAATTCCCAGCTGAACAGAGGGAAAATTCATTTTACAGCAGCAAATCAACTCCACATCCCTGAGCTGTCTCAGCTCCTGGTGTGCTCAAATCCCTCTCCAAGGAGAGAAATCCTGGCTGGTTCAGGGGTTCAGCCTGAGATTGATGGGGTTTGGTCCTCCAGAGCTGGCAGAAAAAGGAACAGGGACCCCATGGAGAGATGCAATCCCTGATCCCATGGGGAGCTGCAACCCCTGACCCTGCCCTGGACCAGGACCCCACAGAGCTGCAACCTTTGACTGAAGACAGAAAACCAGCAGGATGGGATTCACAGGCTGGAGCTGTAATTGACAATTAACCCCAATATGCAAATGGACCGGAACTTACAAAAGGGAGAGACCCCATGACCAGCTGTCCATTTTTGTGACCATTTTGGGTGCAGCCCTGGCTGGGCTCTTGTGCTGCCCAAGGCGGATCCATTGAGGCCTCTTAATAAATCCCTGCTTTATTCTTGAGCTCAGTCCAGTCCCTGTTCTAGCTCAGCCTTCCCAAGGCATCCCCCCCAGCCCTGCTGTCCCACCCTCCCTGTGCCCACCTGCCCATCCCAGGAACAAAACCCCACAGAGGCCAGTTCCAGCTTGTCTCTGGTGTCCCCTTCTAGGAACAAAACCCCATAGAGGCCAGTTCCAGCCTCCCAAGAACAAAACCCCAAAAAGACCAGTGCCAGTTTGTCTCTGGTGTCCCCTTCTAGGAACAAAACCCCACAAAAGGCAGTTCCGTCCTCCCAGGAACAAAACCCCACAAAGGCCAGTTCCAGTCTCCTTCTGGTGTCCCCTTCCAGGAACAAAAACCCACAGAGGCCAGTTCCAACCTCCTAGAAAGAAAACCCCACAAAAGGCAGATCCAGCTTGTCTCTGGTGTCCCCTTCCAGGAACAAAACCCCACAAAAGGCAGTTCCAGCTTTGCAGGAACAAAACCCCACAAAGACCAGTTCCAGCCTCCTTTTGCTGTCCCCTTCCAGAAAGAAAACCCCACAAAGGCCAGTTCTAGCCTCCTAGAAAGAAAACCCCACAAAGGCCAGTGCCATCCTCCCAAGAACAAAACCCCACAGAGGCCAGTTCCAGATTCCCAGGATCAAAACCCCACAAAGACCAGTGCCAGCCTCTTTCTGGTGTCCCCTTCTAGGAACAAAACCCCACAAAGGCCAGTTCCAACCTCCTAGAAAGAAAACCCCACAAAGGCCAGTTCCAGCTTGTCTCTGGTGTCCCTTTCTAGGAAGAAAACCCCACAAAAGCCATTTCCAGCTTCTTTCTGGTGTCTCCTCACAGAAAGAAAACACCCAAACCCCACAAAAACCACTGCCAGCCTCCCAGGAACAAAACCCCACAAAGGCCAGTTCCAGCCTCCCTCTGATGTCCCCCTTCCATGGTTTCTGCAGCTCCAGGGCCATTTTATGGCTTTTGGGAACAGCCCTACACACCTGATCTGTGTTAGAGCTGCTCCTTCCCAGGGGCATCCCAAAACCATCCCAACCTTTTCATCCCTGCAGCTCCTGTGAAATCCCATTAATCTCTGCAGTCTCTGCTCCCTCAGCTCCTCCTGGCCAGCAGCAAATCCCTGGGTTTAGGGTTTTTACAGGGGGATTTTTATTGGCAGAGCTGATTCCCGGCCCCACAGACACCAGGGGCAAATTGAGCAGCTCTTCACACTCTGCTCCAAGGAGAGGAGCTGGATTTGGGGTTTTTGGGAACCAGGCAGCCCTTCAGAATGAGATTGGGATTTTAGAAACACTTTGCTCAAAGGGGAAGAACTGGATTTGGGGTTTTTTTGGGAACCAGGCAGTTCTTGAGTCTGGGATTGGGTTGTTAGAAACACTTTGCTCGCAGGAGAGGAGCTGGATTTGGGGTTTTTGGGAACCAGGCAGCTCTTGAGTCTGGACTGGGATATTAGAAACACTCTGCTCTCAGGAGAGCTGGATTTGGGGTTTTTGGGAACCAGGCAGCTCTTGAGTCTGGACTGGGATATTAGAAACACTCTGCTCTCATGAGAGCTGGATTTGGGTTTTTTTAGGAACAAAGCAGCTCTTCAGACTGAGATTGGGATGTCAGAAAATTTGTTCCAAGGAGAGGAGCTGGATTCGCGGCTTTTTAGGAACCAGGCAGCTCATGAGTCTGGGATTGGGATGTCAGAAACACTTTGCTCTCAGGACAGATGGATTTAGGGTTTTTTTGGGAACAAAGCAGCTCTTCAACCCAGGACTGGGATGTCAGAAACACTCTGCTCTCACGAGAGCTGAATTTGGGTTTTTTTAGGAACCAGGCAGCTCTTCAGCCTGGGATTGGGATGTCAGAAACACTTTGCTCCAAGGAGAGGAGCTGGATTTGGGGTTTTTTTTGGGAACAAGGCAGCTCTTCAGACTGGGATTAGGATGTGAGAAACACTTTGCTCAAAGAGGAAGGGCTGGATTTGGTTTTTTTTTTAAACCAGACTGGGATTTTAAAACCCTTTGTTCTCAGGGGAGGAGCTGGATTTGGGGTTTTTTGGGAACCAGGCAGCTCTTGAGTCTGGGATTGGGATGTTAGAAACACTTTGCTCTCAGGAAGAGTTGGATTTAGGGTTTTGGGGAACCAGGCAGCTCTTCAGAATGGGACTGGGATTTTAGAAACACTTTACTCTCAGGAGAGCTGGATTTGGAGTTTTGGGGAACCAGGCAGCTCTTGAGTCTGGGACCGGGATTTTAAAAACACTCTGCTCTCAGGAGAGCTGGATTTGGATTTTTTTGGGAACAAGGCAGCTCTTGAGTCTGGGACTGGGATTTTAAAAACACTTTGTTCTCAGGAGAGAAGCTGGATTTGGGTTTTTTTTGGGAAGAAGGCAGCTCTTGAGTCTGTGATTCAGATGTTAGAAACACTTTGCCCTCAGGAGAGCTGGATTTGGGGTTTTTTTGGGAAATAAAGCAGCTCTTGAGTCTGGGATTGGGATTTTAAAAACACTTTGCCCTCAGGAGTGGCAGATTTGGGGTTTTTTGGGAACCAGGCAACTGTTGAGTCTGTAATTAAGATTTTAAAAACACTTTGCACTCAGCAGCGACAGATTTGGCGTTTTTTGGGAACAAACCAGTTCTTCAACCCAGGATTGGGATGTTAGAAACACTATGCCCTCAGGAAAAGAGCAGGATTTGGGTTTTTTTAGGAACAAAGCAGCTCTTCAGCCTAGGACTGGGATTTTAGGAACACTTTGCTCCCAGGAGAGCTGGATTGGGGTTTTTTTTTGGGAACCAGGCAGCTCTTGAGTCTGGGATTGGGATGTCAGAAACACTTTGCTCTGTGCCACTGACACCTCAGGGCACAATTAATTTAACCAAATTAAATTAATTCAATTAACAGGGCAGATCTTCCCTGCTGCTGCCCTCCAATGCCAAGGGCAATGCCCCAAACTCCAGGATTTGTTTTTTCCAGCCTGAGGAGGGAAGAATTCCCTCTCCTGCCCCGTGTCAGCCCTGGAATGCCAGGAAAGCTCACTCACCCCTCTTCTGCATGAAGATGAAGAGATCATCCAGGAACTCCTTCCTCTCAGGGTCGCTGTCCAGCTCGTACAGCTGGGGGGACAAAGCACAGTGAGGGCACACCTCCCACCAGACAGAACATTCCAGAATTCTGGCTGCTTCTGGGGAAAGGACAGCACAGGAGACACAGGGAGGCTCCTGGGGGCTCGGTGGTCATGGCTGGAAAGGATCCCCAGGGATGGAAAAATAAAAAGAAAATGAAATAGATCCCCAGAAAGGAAATGGTTTCCCAGAAATTGAATGGATCCCTCAAAATGGAATGGATGCCCAGAGATGGAAAAGAAAAATGAAAATGAAATAGATGCCCACAAAGGAAACAGTACTGAATGGATCCCCCAAAACACAATGGGTGCCCAGAGATGGAAAAGAAAAATGAAAATGGAAAAGATCCCCAGAAAGGAAATGGTTTCCCAGAAATGCAACGGATCCCCCAAAATGGAATGGGTGCCCAGAAATTGAAAAGATTCCCAGAGATGGAAAAACAAAAAGAAAATGAAAAAGATGCCCAGAGATGGAATGGATCAACAAAAATGGAATGGGATTCCCAGGGATGGAATGGATTCCCAGGAATGGGATGGATCACCAGAAATGGGATGGGATTCCCAGAGCTGGAAAAGAATAATGAAAATTAAAAAGATCCCCAGAAACTGCATGGATTCCCAGAGCTGGAAAAGAAAAATGAAAATGGAAAAGATCCCCAGAAAGGAAATGGTTTCCCAGAAATGCAACAGATCCCCCAAAATGGAATGGATGCCCAGAAATGGAAAAGAGATGGAAAAATAAAAAGAAAATGAAAAAGATGCCCAGAGCTGGAATGGATTCCCAGAGCTGGAATGTATCAATAAAAATGGAAAGGGATTCCCAGGGGTGGAATGGATTCCAGAAATGGGATCTCCAGAGATGGAGTGGATCAACAAAAATGGAATGGATTCCCAGAGGTAGAAAAGGAAAATGAAAATGAAAAAGATCCCCAGGAATGGAATGGATCTCCAGAAATGGAAAGGACCCCCAGAAATTGAAAAGATTCCTAGAGATCAAATGGATTCCCAGAGCTGGAAAAGAAAAATGAAAATGGAAAAGATCCCCAGAAAGGAAATGGTTTCCCAGAAATGGAATGGATCCCCCAAAATGGAACGGATGCCCAGAGATGGAAAAATAAAAAGAAAATTAAAAAGATGCCCAGAGCTGGAATGGATTGACAAAAATGGAATGGGATTCCCAGGGATGGAATGGATTGCCAGAAATGGGATAAATGCCCACAAATGGAAAAGATCCCCAGGATGGAATGGATCCCCAGAACTGGAATAAACCAAAAGCCTTCAGAAATGCCAGAAACCAGCCCAGGATTGATTTGCTGTGGGAATAATTTTTTAATTTACTATTTATATATTATTATTCATAAATATTTTTATGCAATACATATTTATAAAATAAATTTTATATCACATTTCTATAATCAATATTTATAAAATATAAATATTTTATAAAATAGATATATTTATAGCATAGAAATTATATATTATAATCATATAAATATTGTATAAAATATAAATATTTATAAAATAGAGCTATTTATCAATATTTATTATTTATAATTAGGGCTTGACACAGCCAAATCATTAAAATGAATTTCTCTAGGCAGTGCATCCCAAAAGAGAGGAGCTTTTTGGGGCTGGATTCCTGGGAAGCTCTGGGACAGCAGAGCTGCCTTAGCTTAAACTGAACCCCTCCAGCTGCTGCACACTCAAATCCATGAGCACAGCATTCCAGAGGGAAAATATTCCTCTCCCAGCTGGAGAAAAACTGGATTAAAGCTTTTAAACACCCAAAGTTTGGTTGTTAATTCTTATTTCAATAACAATTAAACATTTTAACCCAACACAAGGCAACAAACCAGCCCCAAACTGCAGAACGAAGCAATTTCCCCACAAGCTCCCTGCAGGGAGGGCTCTGCCACGGATCAGGGGAGGATTCCCCAAATTCTCCAAGCCCCCAAAATTTCCCAAATTCCCCAAATTGCGCAGACAGACCTTGGCAAAGTCTCGGGAGATCTCCCTTCCCCGGCCGCCGTCGCCCTCGTCGCTCCAGCTCCCGCCGCCGTTCTGGGGAGCAAAACCAGCACAGGGTGAAGGACAGGCCCAGGGGTTTGGGGTTTTTAGGGTTTTTGGGGTTTTTAGGCACAAACACACAGAAAAGCAGCTGCTGGTTCAGCCTGAGGTGGTGAGAAAGGTGGGGAGGGGGTTTGTGGCTCTGTCCCAGTTTGCTGGTGTGGAATTCAGGGTTCAGGGAATGTTCCTCTGTCTGGTCTGGTTTCATCCCTAGGAGAACACTGCTGTTCATCTTCATTTATGGAGATTAAAACACTTGTAAAAAAAGATTGAAAACTAAAAGCTAAACTAGAATTTAAAAAATTAAAATTAGAATCTAAACTAAAATAAAAAAATTAAAATTAAAAACTAAACTAAACTAAAAAAAAAACTTCTAAAACTTTGGGGTGAATTGGAACCTATGAGTGTGTGAAATGAATAGATATTTAACTGCTCTATTATTCAATAAAATTAACACAAAAATAAATATTTATATAAATAATATATAAATAATTTACAATATATAAATTATATATTTATTGTTTAATAAATATAATAAATTATATTATTTTATTCTTTAATAATGAATACATTTATAATAAATTATATATCTAATATATAATTATATATAGAACATAATATATTATATATAGAATATAATAGAATATATAGAATATAATAGAATGTATATATATATAATGGAATAAAATATAATAGAATACAATATAATATAATGATATCTAGTATAATACATATAAAATATCTATCATATAAATTTTATATAATATATATACTATATTATATATAGTATAATGTGTTGCATATCTTTATTATATTTTATATTATGTATAGAATATATAATATACATTATAATATATATTATATTATTATATAATTATTATATTATTATACATTATACTATTATATAATTATATAATAGATATAATTATATATATAAAATTATAATTTTAAGTATTTAATTATATATAACTCTAATTATATATAGAATTAAATACTTATTATTACAAGTATTTAATGATATTATTTTATTATACACCCAGTTTATAACAGGGTGAAAAACTTAAAGAATTTTGATTTTTTTTGTGTGGAGGTAGATAGGAGACAAGATGGAAGATTTTGGGTGCTGTTTCATCTTTTTATTCTTCATCTACTCCACTTTCTGCAGTGTTTGATTGATTAGAAAGAGCTGGAATGTGGATGTTGGGTAAACAGACAAATAATTAGTTATTGGTAAAAAAGGTTTATGAGTTAATTAAACAAAATAATTTTAAAACAATCTCAAACTTGTGTGTTTTGTGATTTTTTTTGGTGGTTTTTTTGCACACTAAGTTTGGTATATAGAGGGTGTGCTGATAAGAGTAAAAATAAACAACCTGAAGACTGAAAAAAACCTAAAAGTTCTGTTTGTTCCTTAATTTTTAACACAAAACTTTTTAGGGGTTTTGTGTTAAAATTTCACATCCTGGGAAGTGGAATTTTAGCTCCCCTCCTGAGGAGCAGGATGTCACCTCCTCAGTGCCTCTGCTGGGGTGACACCCAGCACCTACAGAGGACATTTCTGCCCTCATGTCCCTCTGTTTTCCACAGAGCCCCTGGTGAAAGTGTCACCATTCCTTCCTGATCTCCAGGCCATCCTCCCTGTATTTCCCTGGAAAAGCAGGAGCAGAAGGAGGGGAATAATCCCTCTGGTGCCCTGACTCCAGAAGGATGTGGATTTTCCTCCAGAGAAATGGAAAGCTCAGCTTTGCTGGATTAAGGCTCCTTAAAAGGATTTATTTGGTTAGGCCCTATTCCACTTGGGAATCACCGTGCTGGAGTGGTCTCCCAAGGATGGAAACCAGCAGCTCCAGCTGGCCAGGATAACCCTGAAATAAATCCAGACATCCTGAAAACACCAATTCCAAAAAGTCCTGATCTAGGACATGCTGGAAAAGGGAAGAGCCAAATCCACTTGGGACAAACACATGGGGAGAAAAGATGCAAAACTCTCAAAAGCAGCCTCTGAGGTGCTCCAGCACCTGAAATAAACCAGCAGCTCCAGCTGGATGGAAAGCCAGGATAACCCTGAAATAAATCCAGGCACCCTGAAAACAACAACTCCATAAAATCCTGGTCTAGCACATGCTGGAAAAGGGAAGAGCCAAATCCACACAGACAAACCCATGGGGAGAAAAGGTCTCAGCACCCCAAAAGCACCCTTTGGGAATTCTGGAGAAATAAATTCTGAAATAACCCAGCAGCTCCAGCTGGATGGAAAGCCAGGATAACCCTGAAACAGAACCAGGCATCCTAAGAACAACTCCAAAAAGTTCTGATCTAGCACATGGTGGAAAAGGGAAGAGCCAAATCCACCTGGGACAAACAGAGAAAAAAGGTCTCAGCACCCCAAAAGCACCCCCTGGGAATTCTGGAGATGCTCCTGCACCTCAAATAAACAAACAGCTCCAGCTGGATGGAAAGCCAGGATAACCCTGAAATAAATCCAGGCATCCTAAGAGCAACTCCAAAAAGTCCTGACCTAGCATGTGCTGGAAAAGGGAAGGGCCAAATCCACACAGACAACACATGGGGAGAAAAGGTCTCAGCACCCCAAAAGCACCCCCTGGGAATTCTGGAGAAATAAATTCTGCAATAAACCAGCAGCTCCAGCTGGATGGAAAGCCAGGATAACCCTGAAATAAATCCAGGCACCCTGAAAACAACAACTCCATAAAATCCTGGTCTAGCACATGCTGGAAAAGGGAAGAGCCAAATCCACACAGACAAACCCATGGGGAGAAAAGGTCCCAGCACCCCAAAAGCACCCCCTGGGAATTCTGGAGGTGCTGCAGCACCCCAAACTCCCAGCACCATCTGGCTGTGAGGCTCCCACTGAACGAGGAAGATGAAGAGCTCGTGCACAGCTCCCTAATGCCAGCTGATTGGGTTTGAGGCACTAATTGCTGCTGGAAAGTCAATTAGCCCGTGAGCCCCATCAACTGAGAGATGTTTAATGGGGGATTATTGGCACTTCTGTTGTGTCAGCTGTTTGTGGCACAGGATCAATTGCCAGCCCTCTGCAGGCTGGCTTTGCTCACAGGAGGATCCATCCCACTGTCCTTTCTCCCTCAGCAGAGATTAACCCCACAGATTTTTGGCTAGTTATGGAGCATCCATATGCTTCTAAAATGTTCACTGGGATCAAACCCATGGAGCAGCCAGAATGAGACAGAGGGGCAGGAAAAGGAGGCAGGGATTTTTTCCCAGCCTGGACCTTGCACACTCTCCAAGGCTCAGGGATTTGTGCAGGTTCAGCTTTCTGACCCTTCCCTGGATATAAATCCAGCAAATTCTGCTTCCACAGGGAATTCTGCTCATGCTGAGAGCTTATTCCACTCCATTTGAGGGCAGGGATGAGAAAGAAAAGGGATAAAAAGAGGCAATTCCCTCCCACCAGTGGGTTTGAACTTGGGATAATTCCCAGGAATAAAACTTTTAAAGACTGTGGAAAAGTTCAACAGAACATATTTGGGTTGTTTTCTAGGAAATTTATAAAAAATAAAAGGTGATTAGACCAGGATGGCAGAGGATGAGCAGAATAAACCCATCCCATTTCCCACAGCTCCACGCTGGGATCTGGGGGGCACCTCCAGGCAAAAGGAGCTTAGGGCAGCTGAGGGCACCAGGCTTTGGCCATATGGCCACCAAAGCTGTCACCTGCTGTCACCTGCTGTCACCTGAGCTGGGGCAGCTGCTGCACCTCCTCCTGCTGCTCTGGGGACAATTCCCACTGCCAGGGGACAAGGAAAGAGCTCCTTGGGAAGCCACCAGAGCCCCTCCCTGTGCCACCATATCCCTCTCTGTGCCACTGACACCTCAGGGGCAACCAGAGACCTTCCTGGGCCACCAAGAGCCCTTCCTGTGCCACCAACACCTCATGGGCCGCCAGAGCCTTCCCTGGGCCACTGACATCTTGGGGGCCACCATAGCCCTTCCTGGGTCACCATAGCCCTCTCCGTGCCACTGACACCTCAGGGAGCCTTCCCTATGCCACCAGAGCCCTGCCTGTGCTACCAAAGTCCCTCCCTGTGCCACTGACATCTCTGGGGCTAGCAGAGCCCTCCCTGGGCCACCAGAGCCCTCTCTGTGCCACCACAGCCCTCCTTCTGTGCCACCACAGCCCTCCCTGTGCCACTGACACCTCAGGGAGCACCACAGCCCTCCCTGGGTCACTGACACCTCATGGGCCACCAGAGCTCTGGCGTGTGACACCAAAGCCGTCCCTGGGCCACCAACACCTCATGGGCAACCACGGCCCTGCCTGTGCCACCAGAGCCCTCCCTGTGCCACTGATACCTCAGGGAGCCTTCCCTGGGCCATCAGAGCCCTCCCATGGCCACTGACACCCTGAGGGCCACCACAGCCTTCCTTGGGCAACCAGAGTCATCCCTGCGCCACCAGAGCCCCTCCCTGGGCCACTGACACCTCAGGGAGCCTTCCCTGTGCCACCAACACCTCATGGGCCATGAGAGCCTTCCCTATGCCACCAAAGCCATCCCTGTGTCACTGACACCTCAGGGAGCCTTCCCTGGGCCACCAGAGCTCTCCATGTGCCACCACAGCCCCTCTGTGTCACCAAAGCCATCCCTGTGCCATTGACACCTCATAAGCCACCAGAGCTCTTCCTGTGCCACCAACACCTTGAGGGCCACCAGAGCCCTCTCTGTGCCACCACAGCCCCCCTTCTGTGCCACCAAAGCCATCCCTGTGCCACTGACACCTCAGGGAGCCGTCCCTGTGCCACCAGAGCCCTCCCTGTGCCACTGACACCTTGGGGGCCACCACAGCCCTTCCAGTGCCACCACAGGCCCTGCCTGGTGCCCAGCCCAGCCCAGAGTTAACCCCTGAGCTGCCAAGGTGACCAACATTTCCCATCCTCTGCAGGACAAAAACCTCCCAGAGCAGAGGCATAAAAACTTCTGCTGGGAAAGCCGGGCTCAGCTGCACTCCTCACTTTGCACACAAGTTTTGCAGAGATTTTAAAGAGGTTTTAGAGAGGTTTTGGAGAGGTTTTGCAGGGGTTTTTAGGTTTTTTAGGCCAGGAATCTGCTGAAATACCCACCTGGGAACAAGCCCTCCCCTGCCCTGTGGGTTGAGTCAATGAAAAAGGAACTGGGGCAGCAATTTCAGGATTATCAGGGAATCCACAGAAATTCCTTTTGTGGGCAGAGTTAAGCCTTAGGAAGTGAAACAGATGCTCTGAGAAAGAAAAGTGTTGTAGAACAAACGCTGATAAGATCAGGGCTGCTGCCCTGAGCTGCAAGTTCTCAGGCAGGGAGAGCCAAGGGGTAATTACTGCCCACAGCAGCTCTGCAATGCAACCTTGCTAATAACAGAGCTCAATTCAGCAGCCCCAGCTTCAAAGGCAGCCCCTGAAAGCATCTGAGTGATTTCAGGAATGGCAGGGAGGACGGGGAAGGGAAGGGCTGAGTTTCACCATTAATTGCTTTTTTTTTTTTTGATGAAGTTCTTTTCACGTGTTCCTGTGAGCAAACAGGAACCTGCTGCCTCATCCTTGAGGAAAAGCTGGGCTCTCTGAATTCCTCCTGCTCCCAAACACTCAGAGGAACCAGGATTGATGGAAAAGGGATCCTCAGCGCCAGCCCAGAGTCACTGATTCACCCCAGAGTGGGGAAATCACAAGGGGAACACAAGATTCCAGCTCCTGTGTGCAGCCTGGACCCCTGGGAGCTGCCACCAACCCTACAAATCACTGTGGCACTGAATTAACCCTACAGTGATTGGTCTGCCTCCCTCCCTGCCCCAGGATCCTCACTCACCTCTGGGGCTGCAGGGGAGGAGCTGGGGAGCCTCTGAATTTCCATTTCCCTCTCCTTGGGGAATCCTCTGAATTTCCATTTCCCTCTCCTTGGGGAATCCTCTGAATTTCCATTTCCCTTTCTTTGGGGATCCTCTAACTTCCCTTTCCTTTCCCTTCCTTGGGAAATCCTCTGAATTTCCATTTCCCTTTCCTTTCCTTGGGGAATCCTCTGAATTTCCATTTTCCTTTCCTTCCTTTGGGAAATCCTGGGAATTTCCATTTTCCTTTCCTTTCCTTGGAGAATCCTCTGAATTTCCTTTTTCCTTCCCTTGGGGAATCCTCTGAATTTCCATTTTCCTTTCTTTGGGAATCCTCTGAATTTCCATTTTCCTTTCCCTTCCTTGGGAAATCCTCTGAATTTCGTTTTCCCTTTCCTTTCCTTGGGGAATCCTCTAAATTTCCATTCTCCTCTCCTTTCCTTTTCCGTTTTCTTGGAGAATCTTCTGAATTTCCCTTCTTTTCCTTTCCCTTTCCTTTCCTTTGGGAATCCTCTGAATCTCCATTTTCCTCTCCTTTTCTTTTCCCTTTTCTTGGGGAAACCTCTAAATTTCCTTCTCCTTTTCCTTCTCCTTTTCATTTCCTTTCGGAATCCTCTGAATTTCCATTTCCATTTCTTTGGGAAATCCTCTGAATTTCCATTTTCCTTTCCTTGGGGAAGCCCCTGAATTTCCATTTTCTTTTCCTTTCCCCTTTTCCTTTCCCCTTCCCCACATGAAGTATAAAGTGCTCTGGCTCCCAGGATCAGTTCACATCCCCCTACACCCAAAAATCCACAATTCCAAGATCCCAAAGCTCTGACAAGAACTAACTCCAGTGAGGCATCAGCAGGGAGCTGCCTGCACCTAAAATCACCAAACCATCAGATTTCTCCCAAAATCCCACCCCACAAAGGCTCTCACAGAGCAGGGAAACCCCTAAAGCCAAGTTTTGGTGGGATTTCCTTACAGAACTCCTGAGGAAGGGAAATGGAAGTTTTGGTCATCCCACACCCAGTTTGGGGGGTTTCAAACACACCCAGCTCAGGGGAGCAAAGGAAAAACCAACCCCAAACACATCCTGAGCTCCTGGCAATCTGGGGCAAAAAATAGGATTATTTTGATACAAAATGGTTGGAAACAGGGGAGATTCTGCTCTAAAATAACAGAATTCTGAGTGAAATTCATATTATTTCCTTGAAGTTTTGATTTAGGACAGGAAGGATTTGCTGGGCTGGCCCTAAATCCAACTTCCAGCAGGGGCTGGAGGTGGGAACAGCAATGGGGATAAATCCTGGAAATAAACAGAGGATTTGCAGTTTTTACCCCAAAAAGGACAATCTGGGGGGACACAAAGTGACCAAATCTGGGTCATCCCACTCTAATTTGGGATTTAGGGGGTTTCAAAACACACCCAGCTTGGGGGAACAAAGCAAAAACCAACCCCAAACACACCCCGATCTCCTGGCACTTTGGGGGCAAAATATTGGATTATTTTGGTACAAAATGGTAGGAAACTGGGGAGATTCTGCTCTAAAAGAATTCTGACTGAAATTCATATTATTTCCTTGAAGTTTTGATTTAGGGCAGGAAGGATTTGCTGGGCTGGCCCTAAATCCAACTTTCAGCCGGGGCTGGAGGTGAGAGCAGCAATGGGGATAGATCCTGGAAATAAACACAAAATTTGCACTTTGTGTCCCCCCAGATTGTAATTCTTGGGGGAAAAGTGACCAAATTTGGGTCATCCCACTCTCATTTAGGGGGTTTCAAAGCACACATAGCTTGGGAGAACAAAGCAAAAACCAATGCCAAACACATCCTTCCTGGCACTTTGGGGCAAAAAAAGGGATTATTTTGGTACAAAATGGTTGGAAACAGGAGAGATTCTGCTCTAAAATAACAGAATTCTGAGCACAAAATTTGCACTTCTTCCCCCAAGAAGAACAATCTGGGGGGACACAAAGTGATCAAAGTTGGGTCATCCCACTCCCATTTGGGGTTTGGGGGATTTCAAAGCACACCCAGCTTGGGGGAACAAAGCAAAAAAACCCAAACATGCCCTGATCTCCTGGCACCTCCTTCCTGGCACTTTGGGGGCAAAAAGTGGGATTATTTTGGTACAAAATGGTTGGAAACAGGGGAGATTCTGCTCTAAAATAACAGAATTCTGAGCACAAATTTTGCACTTTTTCCCCCAAGAAGGGCAATCTGGGGGGACACAAAGTGACCAAATTTGGGTTATCCCACTCCCATTTGGGGCTTCACCACACACCCAGCTCGGGGGAACAAGTCAAAAACGAACCCCAAACACGCCCCGAGCTCCTGGCACCGAGCTCCTGGCACTTTGGGGTAAAAGTGTGATTATTCTGGTACAAACTGGTGGGAAGCAGGGGAGCTCCCGCAGCACTGACCTGTTTGAGCGGCTCATCCAGGCGCCAGCCGGGGCGGCCCGAGGGCGCTGCGCAGCGCGGGGCGGGCTCCGTGCCCGGCTCCTCCCTGCCCTGCTGGGTGCCCGCCGCGGGGCTGGCACCGCAGCCCGCCCTGCCCTTGCCGTGGGCGCCTTTGGGAGCGCGGAAACACGGCAGCGCAGAGCGGCTCTCCTGGCCGGGCACCGCGGGGTCATCCTCCAGCTCAGCGCCGTCTTCTTCATCCTCCTCTTCATCGTCCTCCTCCTCCTCCTCATCCTCCTCCTCGGAGTTGCCGCTGCTGTGCTCGTGGTGCCGGCCGGCTGCCGCGGGGGCTCTGCCCGCGGCGGGGACAGCGGCGGGGACGGCGGGCGGCACTGCCGGGGCGCGGCCGGGGAAGGGCGGCGGGGCGGGGAAGGGCACCTGCGGCTCGCGGCGGCGCTCCCGGCACTCCATGGACACCGCCGGCTGTTGTTGCTGCTGCTGCTGCTGCTGTTGCTGTTTCTGCAGCTGCTCCAGCACCGCCTGCAGCTTCATCCCGCCGTGCGCATGGCTGGCGGCCCCGGCGGGAGCCGCGCAGGATCTGCCGGGGACACAAGCGCGGCTGAGGCGCAGCGGCCCGAGCGGCGGCGGCGGCTGCTGCTGCGTTCATCTCTTCCCCAGGAAGGGAGGGGATGGACGGAGCAGAGAGGGGCGCTTTCCTGTGCGCACACCGTGAACAATCAGCGAGGCTCTGACAGCCCCGGGCGGCACAGGCTGGGTTACGGTGGGCTGGGGTGTGAGGCGCTGCTCTGCCCCAAAGGTGCCCCAGGCGTTTGTGCGGGACGGGCTCCCTAAAGGAGCCACTGCGAGGGCAGCGCTAAAAGGAGACAGCCTGGAACAGCCTGACCACATTTAAATTAAAAAAAAAAAAAAAAAAAAAAATATATATATATATATATTTAAACCTGTGCCAGGCTATCCCTAAATTCTGGGCTCTCACTCCATGGCTAAACCCCTGCCACTTCATAGGAGAAAACTGAAACAAATAATAAAAAATAAATTATATATATATACACATATATATAAAAATATATATATATATAAAAAATATATACTTATATATATATATAAAATATATATTTTATATATATAAAATATATATTTTTATATATATACAATCTATTTTTATATATATATATATATATGTATATATATGGACACCTATGCCAGACTACCCCTAAATTCTTTTGTGCTCTCACTCCATGGCTAAATCCCTGCCACTTTGTAGGAAAAAATAAAATTAAATAATAAATAATAAGCTCAAATTATATATATACATATATATATATATCTCCATATATTTATATTTATATCCATATATATATACACCCATGCCAGGTTATCCTTAAATAATTTTATATATATATATATGTATATATATGCACACCCATGCCAAGCTATCCCTAAATTCTTCTGTGCTCCCACTCCATGGCTAAACCTCTGCCACTTCATAGGAGAAAACTGAAATAAATAATAAAAAATAAATTTAAAAATAAATTTTATATTTATACATATATTTATATCAGTAAAAATAAATAAATAAATAAATATATGGATATAAATATATATACACACATATATGTGTGTATATTTTATATATATATATGCATATATATATGCACACCCGTGCCAAGCTATCCCTAAATTCTTCCATGCTCTCACTCTGTGGTTAAATCCTTGCCACTTCATAGGAAAAAACTGAAATAAATAATAAAAAATAAACTTAAAAATAAATTTTTATATATATACATATCCATATCCATATATATATATGTGCGTACATCCGTGCCAGGCTGTTCCTAAATTCTTCCGTGCTCTCACTCTGTGGTTAAAACCCTACCACTTCATAGGAAAAAACTGAAATAAATAATAAAAATTAAATTTTATATATATATATATATACACACACACATATATATATACATATATATATATTTATATACATATATTTAATATTTATATATATTTATATACATATATGTAAAATTTATATATATATATATAAAATTTATTTTTATATATATATTTATATATATATCTCCATGCCAGGCAGGGATTTGTCATGCGAGGCTATCCATAAATTCTTCTGTGCTCTCACTTTGTGGCTAAATCCTTGCCACTTCATAGGAAAAAAAAACCCAAAGGAATTAAAAGAATTTTGAGCAAATTTGGTGTCCCTGCCTCACTTTCACTGTCACTTTTTGTGTCCCTCCTTCACTTTTAGGGTCACTTGTGGTGCCTCTCCCTCACTTTCAGGGTCTCCCCCTGTCATTTTTGGCATCCCTCCCTCACTTTCAGGGTCACTTTTTGTGTCCTTCCCTTACTTTCAGGATCTCCCCCATCACTTTTTTTGCCCCTCCCTTACTTTCAGGGTCTCTTTTTGTGTCTCTCCTCCACTTTTTGTGTCCCTCCCTCACATTCAGGGTCACTTTTTGTGCCTCTCCTCCACTTTTTCTGTCCCTGCCTCACTTTCAGGATCTCCCTTCTGTCACTTATTGTGTCCCTCCCTCGCTTTCAGGGTCACTTTTTTCAGGATCTCCCCCTGTAATTTTTGGCATCTCTCCCTCACTTTTTGTGTCCTTCCCTCACTTTCAGGGTCTCTCCCCCGTTTTTTATGTCCCTCCTTCACTTTTAGAGTCATTTTTTGATGTCTCTCCCCTGCTTTTTGTGTCCCTCCCTTGCTTTCAGGGTCATTTTTGGTGTCCCTCTCTCACCTTTTGTGTCCCTCCTTCACTTTCAGGGTCACTTTTGGCATCCCTCCCTCACTTTTAAGGTCATTTTTGGTGTCCCTCTCGCACCTTTTGTCTCTCTTCCTCACTTTCAGGATCTCTCCCCTATGTTTTATGTCCCTCCTTCGCTTTTAGGGTCATTTTTGGGATCTCTCCCCTGCTTTTTGTGCCCCTCCCTCGCTTTCAGGGTCACTTTTTGTGTCTCTCCCCCACTTTTTCTGTCCCTGCCTCACTTTCAGGGTCTCCCTTCTGTCACTTTTTGTGTCCCTCCCTCGCATTCAGTCACTTTTGGTGTCCCCTCCTCATTTTTTGTGTCTCTCCCTCACTTTCAGGATCACTTTTTGTGTCTCTGCTTCACTTTCAGGGTCTCCCCCTGTAATTTTTGGCATCTCTCCCTCACTTTTTGTGTCCTTCCCTCACTTTCAGGGTCTCTCCCCCGTTTTTTATGTCCTTCCTTCACTTTTAGGGTCATTTTTGGCGTCTCTCCACTGCTTTTTGTGTCCCTCCCTTGCTTTCAGGTTCACTTTTTGTGTCCCTGCCTCATTTTCAGGGTCTCTCTCCGGTAATTTTTGGCTTCTCTTCCTCACTTTCAGGGTCACTTTTGGTGTCCCTCTCTCACCTTTTATGTCTCTCCCTCACTTTCAGGATCTCTCCCCTATTTTTTATATCCCTCCTTCACTTTTAGGGTCATTTTTGGGATTTTTCCCCTGCTTTTTGTGCCCCTGCCTCACATTCAGAGTCACTTTTGGTGTCCCCTCCTCATTCTTCGTGTCCCCCCCCCTCACCTTCCCGTTCTCCCGGTTTCCGAGCCTGTTCCCGCACTCCGGAGGGCGCGGACCGAGTTTCCCCCACCCACACCGGGGTTTCAATGCCCCGTGCGAGCCCTCCCGGCCCCTTTAATCCCCATTTTAAACAGCGCTCGGGAACCGCCTGCGAGAGTTAAACCCGCACCAAGGCCCGGTAATTAATTAATTAACTAATTAACTAATTAATGTTAGGTTTTACCGCTGGATTCACCGAGGGCTCCGACCCTCCCCTCCGGCGGAAATACCGAGGGACCCCCCCACCCCGCCCGCCCTTTAGCACCGCGCTTTCCCCCGTTACCTCCCGTGGCGGGTCCCGCCGGTCCGTGCGCGGCCGCCTCAGCTCCTCCTTCCTTCCGTCCGTCCTCCCCTCCTTCCTTTCCTTTCCCTTCCTTTCCCTTCCCGTTCCTTTCCCTTCCTCCTTCCCCCCTCCCGCCCCTTCCTCGCCCGGCCGGAAGCACCGGAAGCGCCCGCGCCACTTCCGGGAACGGCCCGCGGGGAGAGGGGAGGGAGAGGGAAAGCCGCAGCCAATCAGAGAGCGCGATGCCGGCCGCCATTCCAGTTCCGGGTGCTATAAAAAGCGCGCGCGGCGCGCGGGCCCGGCAGTCGCGGAGGAGGCGCTGCCGGGGGCTGAGGCACTGCGTGAGGGTGAGCGGGGCCCTGAGAGCGCCCGGAGCCGCGCGGGACATCGGGGATGGCTTTTAGGGGTCACCCCGTGGCTGTTTGGGCTTTGAGGAGTGGCTTAGGGGGTCCCTCGGAGGGAGGGTTAAGGGCTCATTATGTCTGTTCGAGCGCTGAGGGTGGGTTTAGAGGGGTTCTCTGTGTCTCTTCGAGCCTTTAGCGTGGGGTTAAGGGTCTCTCAGAGGGATTTAGAGGCTTCTCCGTGTGTGTTAGAGCTTTCGGGGGGGATTTTAGGGCTGTGTCTCTCGGGATAGGGGTTAGGGTCCCTTCACGTCATCTTAGGCCCTTAGACGGGGCTTAGGGTCCCCTCCGTGTCTATTTGGGCAGGTTAGGGGTTCCCCAATATATATTTGGCCTCTTAAGGCAGGGTTAGGGGTTCCCCGATGTATATTCGGCCTCATAGGGCAGGGTTAGGGGTCCCCCAGTGTCTCTTTGGGGCTCTAAGGAGGGTTGGGGGTCCCCGATGTATATTTGACCTCTTAGGGCAGGGTTAGGGTTCCCCCAATGTCTGTTTGGCCTCTTAAGACAGGGTTAGGGCTCCCCCTCATGCCTTAGGCAGAGTTGGGGGTTCCCCAATGTTTGTTCAGGCTCTGAGTGTGGGATTTGGGATTTCTCCATGTCTGTCTGGTCCCTCAGGGAAGGTTGGGATCCCCTGCTGCAGCCGTGTGTTTGTGCCCTTGGGGTGTGTGGGCTCTGGCAGGGATGGTGCTGGGTGCTGGGGACCTTAATTTCCTCAGGTCTGTGCTGGTGGGGGGCTGTGTAGGGGGATCCCTGCAGATCCCTGGGACAGGACAGGAATCTCACAACATTTTGGGTTGGAAGAACCTCAAGGATGTTTTCACTCCCACCCCCTAGCACAGACAGGGACACCTTCCACAGCGCTGTGTCCTCTGGGGGACTGCATTTATTCCTACGTGTGTTCTGAGGGCATAAAGCAATATTTTACCTCCCTGCCTTGCCCTGCAGACCCCTCAGGGCTTAACTCCCACCCTCCCTGGTGCATCCCTGCCCATCCCCACGGGCAGGGAGTGCCACCCTGCTGTCTCTCTGCCCTCAGGCCGGGCGGGATGGCGGACGAGGAGATCGCTGCCCTGGTGGTGGACAACGGCTCGGGGATGTGCAAGGCGGGGTTCGCAGGGGACGACGCGCCCCGCGCCGTGTTCCCCTCCATCGTGGGGCGGCCGCGGCACCAGGGCGTCATGGTGGGCATGGGCCAGAAGGACAGCTACGTGGGCGACGAGGCGCAGAGCAAGAGGGGCATCCTCACCCTCAAGTACCCCATCGAGCACGGCATCGTCACCAACTGGGACGACATGGAGAAGATCTGGCACCACACCTTCTACAACGAGCTGAGAGTGGCCCCCGAGGAGCACCCTGTGCTGCTCACCGAGGCGCCCCTCAACCCTAAAGCCAACAGGGAGAAGATGACGCAGATCATGTTCGAGACCTTCAACACGCCGGCCATGTACGTGGCCATCCAGGCCGTGCTGTCCCTCTACGCCTCTGGCCGCACCACGGGCATCGTGATGGACTCCGGCGACGGCGTCACCCACACGGTGCCCATCTACGAGGGCTACGCCCTGCCCCACGCCATCCTGCGCCTGGACCTGGCCGGCCGCGACCTCACCGACTACCTCATGAAGATCCTCACCGAGAGGGGCTACAGCTTCACCACCACGGCCGAGCGTGAGATCGTGCGCGACATCAAGGAGAAGCTGTGCTACGTGGCGCTGGACTTCGAGCAGGAGATGGCCACGGCCGCCTCCTCCTCCTCGCTGGAGAAGAGCTACGAGCTGCCTGACGGGCAGGTGATCACCATCGGCAACGAGCGCTTCCGCTGCCCCGAGTCCATCTTCCAGCCCTCCTTCCTGGGCATGGAGTCCTGCGGCATCCACGAGACCACCTTCAACTCCATCATGAAGTGCGACGTGGACATCAGGAAGGATCTGTACGCCAACACCGTGCTGTCTGGGGGCACCACCATGTACCCCGGCATCGCTGACCGCATGCAGAAGGAGATCACGGCCCTGGCTCCCAGCACTATGAAGATCAAGGTGGGCAGTGGGTGCTGGTTGTGAGGGTCCCCAGGATGAGCTGAGAGATGAGAATCTGACTCCATCTTCTGAGAATCCTGATTTATTATTATATTCAAACAATACTATACTAAAACTACCCTAAAGAAAAGGATGAGGAATCTGGTTCCATGTTCTCAGAAGGCTGATTTATTATTTTGTGATAATATATTATATTATAGGAATGCTATACTAAAGAAAAAGATGAGCAATCTGGCTCTATATTCTCAGAAGGCTGGTTTATTATTATATTATATTAAAACAATGCTATACTAAAACTACACTAAGGAAAAAAATGAGGAATTTGATTCCATGTTCTCAGAAGGCTGATCTATTATAATATCATAAAATATTATATTATAATATTATAAGAATACTATACTAAAGGAAAATATGAGGAATCTGCCTCCATGTTCTCAGAAGGCTGATATATTATTATAATATCATTTTATGATATTATATTAAAAGAATGCTGTACTAAAACTATACTAAAGAAAAAGATGAGGAATCTGCCTCCATGTTCTCAGAAGGCTGATCTATTATTATACTATCATATCATTTAATGATATATTATAATAATGCTATACTAAAGAAAAAGATGAGTAATCTGGCTCTATGTTCTCAGAACGCTGATTTATTATATTAAAAGAATGCTATACTAAAACTACACTAAAGAAAAAGAGGAATCTGGCTCTATGTTCTCAGAAAGCTAATACATTATAATATAGTATATATTGTAATGTATTTTATATATTATTATAATGCTGTACTAAAGGAAAAGATGAGGAATCTGCCTCTGTGTTCTCAGAAGGCTGATTTATTATTTAATGATATTATATTAAAAGAATGCTATGCTGTTGCTGTCACAGACATATTTTCTGGGAAATCTTTTCACTAGGATTTTTCTCCTGAGAAGCTGAGAGGCCTCAGAAAGGAAATGTAAACAATAACTCTGATGGCTGTGGAATGTGCTCTGGAGGTTGTTTACCAACAGGTGCATCTTGGATTGGTCTCATGTGAATTGTTTTCACTTGATGACCAATGACAGCCTGGCTGTGAGCAGTCACAAGATTTTATTATCATTCCTTTCCTTGCTAGCCTGCTGCTGTCTCCTTTCTCTTTCTTCAGTATAGTTTTAATAGATCATTTTCTTTTAATGTAATATGTGGTGGTGTTCACAGGGGTCCCAGGATGAGGGAAGAGATGGGAATCTTGACTCCATGTTTCAGAAGGATGATTTATTATTTTATGATATATATTATATTAAAAGAAAAGGATATATTAAAGCTATACTAAAGAAAGAGAAAAGAGACAGCAGAAGGCTGGCAAGGAAAGGAATGATAATAAAATCCTGTGACTGACCAGAGAGTCTGAAACAGCTGGATCTGTGATTGGTCATAAATTAAAAACAACCACATGAGACCAATCACAGATGCACCTGTTGCATTGCACAGCAGCAGATAATCATTGTTTACATTTCATTTCTGAGGCCTCTCAGCTTCTCAGGAGAAAAATCCTAGCAAAAGGATTTTTCATGAAATATGTCCATGACAATAATATGTATCATAAAATAATAAATCAGCCTTCTGAAACATGGAGTCAGGATTCTCATCTCTTCCCTCATGCTGGGGACCCACAAACTCCACCACACTACACTAAAGAAAAAGAAAAAGGATCCATCAGAAGGCTTAGCAAGAATCAATTATAAAAACTCGTGACTCCTCAGAGCCTTGATTGCTCATTAAATGAAAACAATTCACATGCTGGGTAAACAATCTCCAAAATCACATTCCAAAGCAGCAAAATGGGGAGAAGCTGAAGCTTCTCAGCTTCCCAGGATAAGAAATCCTGGTTCAGAAGGGGTTTTTCAGGAGATATCCCAGTGACAGGTGGGGAGGGCAGGGTGGGCACAGGGGCTGGAACAGCTCTGACCCCCCTCCCTCTCTCTGTGTCTCTCCTGGTGCAGATCATCGCCCCCCCTGAGCGCAAGTACTCGGTGTGGATCGGGGGCTCCATCCTGGCCTCGCTCTCTACCTTCCAGCAGATGTGGATCAGCAAGCAGGAGTACGACGAGTCCGGGCCCTCCATCGTGCACAGGAAATGCTTCTAGAGGGGCTGCTGGCACCCCCCAGACCCTGAACCCTGCTGGCAGCACCCCCTGACCCTCCTCTCCCTGCCAGCAGCACCCCCTGCCACCCCAGACCTTGTTATTCCACTGCTCCTTAGCTCCCATTCCCTGTGTCCAGGTACTAATTAGCAATTAGTGTGTGTGTGTGTGTTTTAATGGCTCCTTAGGCTCCTCTTCCTCAGGCGGAGGGTTGTTCACTTTCCCTGTGTAACACCCGTAGGACGACACTAAAGTTAGGTTTGTCACCTTGTCACCTCTAGGTTCCTTTGTAGGAAAAGAAATAAACTTCCCTAGTTTAAACACTAAAAAAAAAGCTGATTTTGCTTGCTTTCTTTCAGGGGTGGGTTCTCTATCCCCTTATTGGGGTGAAAGGATTTGGGATTCTGAGCTGGTTTGAAGTTAAAGCTTAGCTTGAATTTTGTTTTCTGAATTCTCTTTAAATCCCATCACGGCCCCTGTGCTGCTCAGACCATTTTAAGAGCTGTTAGGGAGCAAAGCGTGCCTGGAATGTGGCTCTTGCAGCCTGACTGGACTTTCATGGTAACTTGGCTTTTTTTAGAACACAAACAGCTCTTCTTGTCAGAAAAAGTCGGTGCCTTGGCACAGGAGTTGGTCACCGGAGCAGTGGCCTCTCCTTTTTTGGGAGAGGATGAGGAGATGGAGCAGCGAATAGGGCTGAAGAGCGGGCAGCTTCGCACAGCTGGGCCCGCCGGCGTTGGTGGGGTATCTACGGGAGCTGCTCGCCCGCAGGGGAGGGATGGCAGCCGCTTAATTACCGAGGTAGCGTTAATTAGAGGTGATTGTGGCGGGGGAACGGCACGGGACTGCGCGCCCCTCCCCGCGCTCCGGCCTTTAAACTCTCGGCCGCCCGCCCATTGGCTGGTCCTGGCAGAGCCAGCCAATCAGCAGCGCCTTCGCCTCGGGAGGGCGTTATCGCCTACCCTGCCGGACTCGATTTCCCAGCGCGCACCGCGTTACGCACAGCACTTCCGCTTCCGGTCCTTTGGGGTGAGGTAGCACGGATCTGGGAAGGCCTGGGGGGCGACGGCCGGGCCCCCCTGAGGTGGGGAGGGGAGGGAGACACGGCCGGGCCCCCCTGAGGTGGGGAGGGGAGGGCGACACGGCCGGGATCGCCCTGAGATGGGAAGGGGAGGGGAGGGGAGGGAGACACGGCCGGGATCCCCGTGAGGTGGGGAGGGGAGGGCGACACGACTGGGATCCCCCTAAGCTAAAGGAAGAGTCTGGGGGGAGAACAGCCAATATCCCCCTGAGCTGAGGGGAAGGAATTGGGGGAGCACGGCCGGGGGATCCCCCTGAGGGGATAGGAGGGTCTGGGGGGAGAACGGCCGGGATCCCCCTGAGCTGAGCAGAAGATTGGAGTGGGGACATCCGGGGGATCGCCCCGAGCTGAGGGTCTGGGGGGAACATGTCCCGACCCCCCTGAGCTGAGGGACGGTCTGGGAGAGAACAGCCGGGACCCCCCTGAGCTTAGGGGAAGGATCTGGGGGAGCACAGCCAGGATCTCCCTGAGCTGAGACGGGGCTTGGGGTTCTGGGGACGGGCAGCCATGGCCGGGACCCCTGAGCTGACGGGGGATGGGGACTCTGGGGATGGAGGAGCCATGGCCGGGACGCCCCTGAGCACGGGGGCTGTGTCTGGCTGTGCCCGTGGCTCTGTGTGCGCAGTGCCCGATGGATGACGGAGGGCTCGCTGTGTGCGGGGTGTCACTCGGCCGTGTCCCCAGGCGCCATGGCCCTGCCGGAGTGGCACATCGCCGTGAAGCTGGCCGAGCAGCCGCTGGCCCCTAAAGCCATCCTGCGCCTGCCGGAGACCGAGCTGGGCGAGTGCCCGCTGGGCGGCTGCAGCATCTCGCACCTCAAACAGCTGATCACGGGCAAGCTGCAGGAATCCATGCCGGACCCCGAGCTCATCGGTGCGTGCCCCGCCGGAGCCTGGCGCTGTCCCGCCGCTTGGGGACACCCTCGGCCCGTCCTCGCCGCGGCCGGGATGTAACATCCCGCTGCTGGTGGTGGGAGGGCTCGGTGTTCGTTCCCTGTTTCCTTGGAATCAGGGCGCTCCAGCCACGGCAGTGCCCTTGTTCGGGAATATTTGGGCTTTCCACCAGCTCTGTGTCCTTGTGAGAGCTCTCATGGGAGCTGAGAGGGAGGTCAGCTCTTACGCAGGTGGTGACTCTGCCATCCCCTCTAGATTAGCTCTGTGATTTCCCTCCTGGTTCTCAGCTCCACAGCTTCCCTGTGTTTTTCCCTACCCAGCTGCTCAGTAACCCCTTGGGCTCCAAGGCACACCTAGAGACCCCCAGCTGGTTCTGAGAGCACCACAGGCATTTATTTCAGGTGTTTCTCCCCCCAGACCTGATCTACTGTGGCCGGAAGCTGAGGGATGACCAGACCCTGGATTTTTATGGAATCCAGTCTGGCTCCACTGTCCATGTCCTGCGCAAGTCCTGGCCTGAGCCTGACCAGAAACCAGGTGAGGAGCTGTGGGGATTGCCCCTTGGATTCTCCTTGGGATGTGTTTTATTAGGGACTGAGCTTCTCTAGGGGTTCACTGCTGTGGAGGTTTCCAGGGGAATGAATCCCTGTATTTGGGAACTCCCAGCAGCACCTGGCTGTTGGTTTTCCTGCTGATGCAAGAGTTAAGGAATGAGCTGTGCACCATGGAGAGAGGGATCATCCCATCTTTAATTGCCTGTGATCCATTCCAGGGCATTGCCAGGGTATCTGGAGCAAAGCCCCAGGGATGAGCAGGCTGCTGTGTGCCTGACTGTACAAAAACAGGAGCTTGAGCTGGCATTCCTCTAATGGCACACGTGGGAGGATATTCCTGACTATTTTTATGATCTGAGAGTGCAGCAAGTCATTACTCTGCAGTGACTGCACCCAACCCAAGGATGTTGGAGGATCCCTGTTGCAGCATGGGGGTCCCAGTGGGCTGTGGATGACTCTGAGGGCTGACAGAGGCCCAGCTGTGTTTTGTTGTGGTGTTTTCTCCCCTCAGAGCCCGTGGATAAGGTGGCAGCTGTCCGGGAATTCCGTGTGCTGCACACTGCCCTGCACAGCAGCCCTGCCTACAGAGATGCTGTGAGTGCTCTGCTCTGCTCCTGGGGGGAATTCAGCTGTCCCCTCCCTCTGGGGACACCCCCACAGTGGGTAACATTGCCAACCTGCTCTGCTTCCCCTGGCAGGTCTTCAAGATGCTGGGAAACAAGGAATCCCTGGATCAGATCATTGTGGCTACTCCCGGCCTCAGCAGCGACCCCGTGGCTCTGGGTGAGTCTGGCTGTGATCCAGAGGATCTGAGGGGAGGTTGGATTCCTGTTGGGGGAAGGGACAGACACAAATCTAGGTTGAATTCCTGACAGGGAGAAGAGAGAGTTTAAAAAAACCCCTTTTTGTCCTTTTGGAGTGTGAGTTGGTGACTGCTGAGGTGTCAGTCGTGCTCCATTGGTGATGTTTGAGGATGGATCCTGGCTTTAGTAGGGTCAGGGAAAGGAGGGTTGGAGCTCTCATTGGGGGTGGATCCTGGCTTTAGTAGGATCAGGGAAAGGAGGGATGAAGCTCTCTCCCTGGCTTCAGAAGGATCAGGGAAAGAAGGGATGGATCCTGGCTTCAGAAGGATCAGGGAAGGGAGAAATGGAGTTCCCTCCTTGGGAATGGATCCTGGCTTCAGAAGGGTCAGGGAAAGCAGGGATGGAGCTCTCTCCTTGGCTTCAGAAGGGTCAGGGAAAAGAGGGTTGGAGCTCTCATTGGGGATGGATCCTGGCTTCAGAAGAGTCAGGGAAAGGAGGGATGGAGCTCTCTCCTTGGCTTCAGAAGGATCAGGGGAAGGAGGAATGGAGTTCTGTCCTTGGGGATGGATCCTGGCTTCAGAAGGGTCAGGGAAAGGAGGGATGGAGCTCTCTCCCCACTGCGAAGTGCTCCAAAGTGGTTGATTAAATCCTGCCTGTTGTGGGATGGTGGCAGCCCAAGGCAGGTGGAATTTGGGATGTTATAGAATGGTTCACTAAATCCAGCCTGTTGTGGGATGATGTCAGTCCAAGGCAGGTGGAATTTGGGATGCTACAGTTCACTAAATCCTGCCTGTTGTGGGATGATGTCAGTCCAAGGCAGGTGGAATTTGGGATGCTACAGTTCACTCAGTCTTGCCTGTTGTGGGATGGTGGCAGCCCAAGGCAGGTGGAATTTGGGATGCAGCCCCAGCCTGGCTGCAGGGAGCTGGGGCCCAGCCTCCACCCTGCCCTTGAGGTGGAGCACCCATGGGATTTGCAGGAAAAAGCCCCTTCCCTTTTGTCCCTTTTGTTCCTTGGGTGTGTGGCTGTGACCAAGAGCCTCTCTGGGAACACAAAGGCTTCAGCGGAACAATGGGGAATGTTTGTGGTGTTTACTCATGAGTCATTTCCTGGAAAACAATTCCTATTTATTTTTCCCTGTGGCTTTTGTGTGACTGGCTCCTGTTTGCTGTATCCTGTCTCACTGCTTTTCCTCGTCCTTTGCAGGAGTTCTGCAGGACAAGGATCTGTTCTCTGTGTTTGCAGACCCCAACATGCTGGACACGTAAGTTCCCCAAGCTGGGGCAGTGGTTCAGCAGTGCCCTTGTGTCCCTGTGTGTCACCTGGGTGGGACAGAGCTCTGCTCCTGCCTCCCAGGCTGGGTCACTCCTCTCAGGAAACACACATCCACCACTTGGGTTAATCCAGAGGGTGTTTGGTGGGAGGCAGGGCCATCATCACCTCCAGATCAGGGTTCAGACCCAGGTGAACTGCTCACAGCAGAGAGCTGCTCCCATGAAAACCTTGGAAAAGTCAGCATGGGTCCAGAGGGCTCCTTGGAGAACCAAGGAAAGGTCCAGCATGGGTCCAGAAGGATCCTTGGAGAACCAAGGCAAGGTTGGGTCCAGAAGGTTCCTTGGTGAACAGAGACAAGGTCCAACACGGGGTCCAGAAGGATCCTTGGAGAAGTGAGAAAAGGTCCAGCATTGGTCCAGAAGGATCCTTGGGGAGCCAAATAAAGGTCCAACATGGGTTCAGAGGGATCCTGGAGAACCAAGAAAGTCTCTAATGTGAATCCAGAAGGACTCTTGGTGAACCAAGAAAAGGTCCAACATGGATCCAAGAGGATCCAAGGCTGGGTCCACCACGGGTCCAGAAGAATCCTCGGTGAGCCAAGGTCCAATATTGGGTCCAGAATGATCCTTGGTGAATCAAGGCAAGGTTGGGTCTAGAAGGGTCCTTGGTGAACTGAGGCAATGTCCAGTGTGGATCCAGAAGGATCCAAAGCCAGGTCTAGCATGGATTCAGAAGGGTCCTTGATGAACCAAGGACAGGTCCAGCATAGATCCAGAAGGATCCAAGGCAAGATCCAGCATGGATCCAGAAGGATCCTTGGTGAACCAAGGCCAGGTCCAACATGGATCCAGAAGGATCCAGAGCCACGTCCAGCATGGATCCAGAATGATCCTTGGTGAACCAAGGCCAGGTCCAATGTGGATCCAGAAAGATCCAAGGCCAGGTCCGCCATGGATCCAGAAAGTTCCAAGGCCAGGTCCAGCGTGGATCCAGGAGGATCCCTGGCTGCCTGGAGGAGTTTGTGCCGGCAGCAGAGGCAGCGGTGGCAGTGCCCCGGGTGCCTCAGGGCTGGTTTCTGGCGTGCCCCGTGCCCTCGCTCAGCCGTGCCCGTCTGTGCCCAGGCTGATCCCGGCTCACCCTGCCCTGGTGAACGCCATCGTGCTGGTGCTGCACTCGGTGGCGGGCAGCACCCCCCTGCCGGCCCCGGACACGTCCTCGCGCGCCATGGCCCTGGGCTCCTACCGCGACATGCCGGGTACGTCACCTTGGTGCTCAGCCAAAAACTCCACAGGGATCTGCTCCCAGTTCCTGCTGGTTTCCCACGTCCTTTCATTCCCCTTTCTGCTGCAGGTGGCTTTCTCTTTGAGGGGCTCTCTGATGATGAAGATGACTTCCACCAGGTAAGCAGCCAGGTTGGGTGAGCACTTCTTTCTGGGTTTAATTTGTAGCCCTGAGACTCCCAAGCTCTTCCTTTCCTGTCTGGTGAGCAGCACGAGCTGCTCTGGCTCCCCAGGGGGATGTGGAGACAAACATATTGATCCTGGCTGCTTCCATGCTGCTCAAAAGAGGGTTTTCCTCAGCACTGAACACACAACAGGAAAATGGAACAGAGGAAATGCCCTCACAGCATTTGTGAGCGTGGGAATGTTGATCCCTGCCTTTCTGCACTCTTCCTCTCCATAGGACAAAGGGTTCTGTATGAAAAACTGGATATATGGGTCCAAATGTGCCTGTAGCAGGGGATTGTTTTGTTCCAAGCTAACATCACCGTGGTTTGGGGCTGGTGGATGATAGATTGAAAGGTTTCCTTGCCAGTTTCCACAGCTGACTCTGTGGAAAAAAGGGACATCCTACTCTGGCATGTTTGTCTTTCAGAAGTGTCACCCTTGGGACATTTGGGTATGGTAGGACAGGCTATGTGGTTTGACTGGGACACAGACACTGACAGAGGTCAAAGCTGGGGCTTTTCTCTCTCTCTGTCTCCACACAGAGCACCAGGTCCACCCCGTCCAGCAGCACGTCCGGCTCGCGCCCGGCCTCGCTGGGCTACGCGGGGGCGGCGGGGCCGCGACCCATCACCCAGAGCGAGCTGGCCACAGCCCTGGCCCTGGCCAGCACCCCCGAGAGCAGCTCCCACACACCCACCCCGGGCACACAGGTAACCCTGGGGCTGCCTCACCTGCCTCTGCATTCCCTCAGGGGTGGGTTCTCTTCCCTTTGATCCCACCCTGGTAACCCCTGGGGCTGCCACTGCTGCCTCTGCATTCCCTCAGGGGTGGGTTCTCTTCCCTTTGATCCCACCCTGGTAACCCCTGGGGCTGCCACTGCTGCCTCTGCATTCCCTCAGGGGTGGGTTCTCTTCCCTTTGATTCCATCCTTGAGCACACAGGTAACCCCTGGGGCTGCCACTGCTGCCTCTGCTTTCCCTCATGGATGGGTTCTCTCCCCTTTGATCCCACCCTGGGCACCCAGGGAGCAGCAAGCACCAGCCCGCATCAAGGCTGGCACACCTGGCTCTTCATTCCCTCATGGATGGGTTCTCTTCCCTTTCATCCCACCCTGGGCACTCAGGGAGCAGCCAGCACTGGTCATGGTCAAGACTGGCACATCTGGCTCTGCATTCCCTCAGGGAAGAGTTCCCTGTGTGATCCTAACCCTGGCACACCCTGGCTGTGCCTTCCCTCATGCAAATTCATGTGATCCCTATCTTCCAGACAATCCCACCACCCAGGGACAGCCAGCACAGCCTGGTCAGCTCTGGGATACCTCCCTTCCCTCCTGGAGGAGCTCCCCTCCCCATGGGATGGAGGGTGAGGGGTGCTGCAGGTGTTGCTGTGTGCTGGTTCCTTCTCCTGACCTGTCACCTCCTCCTAGGGCCACTCCTCTGGGACGTCCCCGATGTCATCCAGTGTGCAGTCAGGGACCCCCATCACCAACGACCTGTTCAGCCAGGCCCTCCAGCACGCCCTGCAGGCCTCAGGGCAGCCCAGCCTCCAGGTCAGTGGCATTCCCTGGAATCCTGCACCCCCTGCATCTCCCAGCTGCCTCCTGTGGTGGGACATCAGCCTGGAGGGGCATCACTGGTGCCTTTTTGGGCTACCTGAAAACAGAGGCCAGACAGCATTAAGGGAATAAAAAGCTGTCCTATTTATTGAAGGGCCATTTGGGGCAGATGAAGCTACACCCAAAAATGGACCACAGGTCACAGGTTTTCAGACTTCTGTAAATTTGGTCCATTTGCATATTGGGGGTAATCTGATTACACCTTCAGGTAATGAAGTCATTTACCCCAAGTCTCTAAAAGCAGAGGCCAGACAATATTAAAAGAATAAAAAGCAGTTAATATTTATTGAAGGGCCTTCAGGTACATTTTGGGGAGATAAAGCCCCCCCACCAGGGGCTACACCCAAAAATGGACCAATGATCACAGGTTTTCAGACCTCTGTAAATTTGGTCCATTTGAATATTGGGGGTTAAGAAGTTTCTAAAAGCAGAGGCCAGACAAAATTAAAATAATAAAAAGCAGTTATTTTTGTTGAAGGGTCATTTGGAGAGATGAAGCCCCCCCCCCCCAGGGGCTACACCCAAAAATGGACCACAGGTCACAGGTTTTCATACTTCTGTAAATTTGGTCCATTTTCATACTGGGGGCTAATCTTCCAATTAAACCTTCAGGTAATGAAGTAATTTACCCCAAGTTTCTGAAAACAGAAGCCAGACAAAATTAAAAGAATAAAAAGCAGTTATATTTATTGGAAGGGCCATTTGGGGCAGATGAAGCTACACCCAAAATGGACCAATGATCACAGTTTTCAGACTTCTGTAAATTTGATCCATTTGCATGTTGGGGGTTAATCTTCTGATTACACCTTCAGGTAGTGAAGTCATTTACCCCAAGTCTCTAAAAACAGAGACCTGACAACATTAAGGGAAGAAAAAGCAGTTATATTTGTTGAAGGGCCTTCAGGTACGTTTGGGGCTAGACCCCGAAAATGAACAATGGCTCACAGGTTTTCATGCTTCTATAAATTTGGTCCATTTTCATATTGGGGGTTAATCTTCTAATTAAACCTTTGGGTAATGAAGTTATTTACCCCCATTTTGCTCCTCCAGTTCACTTTTGTTTACATTTCTGGGTCCTGAGGCAGTGAGATGTCCTTGATTGCCAGGCCTGGAGAGGAATTGTTGTGTCTGCCCAAAATGGGAAAGCAGCAGCTCACACTTTATATAGAATTAGAATTATACAAAGAATTACAGGATTAGAAAGGTATGAAAAATATAAAATCTAAAGTCCCAAGGCATCATCACAGCCACTGCAGAAGTACTGGGTGAAACTGGGGTGGAGGTGTTATAAATGCATATTTTATTGTTGGCTTTTTGCAAATATTAAGATAAATACTGTATGTATAATGTTAAAAGAACTTTTATTTCTGCTTTTAACAAAAAACTTAGACATAGTAGTAGCTAATATAGTTATAAATGAACTGTTTAATCAAGATAACATCCAGTAAACATATAATGAAGGCCTTGCTATTAATATACTATCAATATTTATCATCTGAAGGAAGTATAGACCAAGCCCAGACTAAAAGTAATAAAGAAAAAAAGCCAAAACCACAACTACGAAACATGCATACTCTAAAAAAACCCAAAGAAGAGCCATACAAAATAGTACCTAAAACAGATAAACTAGCTTATAGAAAAATATAAATATACATAAAAGTCTATGAATATACAAGTTAATGTAATAGAAAAAGTATTTTTAAAATATCTCTGAAAATAAATGTGCAAGATGCACCCAGCCATAATCTTTACTATCTTTATCTCCTTTTGTCTTTTATTAAACTTTTAAATTTTGCCAAAAAAACCAAACCAGCTTTTTCACAGGGGGGTGGTGGCTTTGGGGACTTTGCAACATCACTGAGCTTACAGGAGCTGCTGAGGTGGATGGGTAACACATTCACTCTCCTATGAAAATGTCAACATTTAAAAACCACAATTTGAAAGTTTAATAAAGGACAGTAGGAGACGAGGACCATAGAGCAAAGGTTGTTACTGTGAAAAACACGTTCACTCTCCTGTTAAAGTGTAAAAAGTTTAATAAAGGACAGTAGGAGACAAGGAGTATAGAGGAAAAGTTATTGTGGCATCAGCCAAGAGCCCCCTGTTATCTTTGGGGTATGTCCTGGTTTAGGGCAAATTTAACCCTAACCCCTTAAATACCTTTAATTACATCAGCCCTTTGCATATTCACAGACCCTTGTGCTCAGGAAACTTGTTTAGACTAGATTACATGTTCCAGGAATTGTTTAGCACATCTCTGCTTTGGATCTGCTCTTTTAGAGCCTGTGCATTCCTGGATTGTGGTTTTAGTCCCTTTTTATCCCCCCCATTTCTGGGCCCTGGCCCACACTGCCCTCAGAGGGTGAGTGCTGCTGGCTGGCACATCTGTCCAGGTGTGCTCACCCTGTGTTCAGTGGGTGTTATCCCATCCCTGCAGGCACTGGGACACAGCACACTGATATCAGGTTTAATGAACAACAGAAATAAAATCCAAATCTTTATAACAAAGTCACTTTAACACCACACATCTAAAATCCATTTTAATATCTGCAAAAAGCCAATATTATAATGTGCGTCTATAACAGGTGGGACACTGGGCAGTGGGAAGGGCTGCTGGTTTTGCTGCTGGGATTCTCACACCAAATCTGCTGGGATTCTCACCCCAAACTTCTCCTTGCTGTGAGCAGAGCCAGTGGCAGCCCCAGCTGCAGCAGCTGCGGGACATGGGCATCCACGACGACGAGCTGAGCCTGCGGGCCCTGCAGGCCACAGGAGGGGACATCCAGGCTGCCCTGGAGCTCATCTTTGCTGGGGGGGCCCCCTAAACCTTCTGCTGGACTGGTGAGTTGTGCTGAGGCAGCAGCTGGGCTGGTCCTGTGCGTGGGGAGCACTGAAGGCAGCTCCAAATCCTCTCTCCAACCTCCTCAGGACTCTGCATGGAGAAGGGAAGAGGTGGCTCGGGGCTGGAGACGTGGCCCCTCCAGCTGTGCAATGTTTTATCTGTCACCACTCTCTGCCTGTTATTTCATTCCCTGCATTAAAAGGGGCCTGCTCAGTTCCCTGCCTGCTGTGTGGGTCGTGCTCTGTCCTGGCTGTGGTGCAGCTCCCAGCAGGGCAGGAAGGGGAAGCATTGCTGGCCAGGGGTTATGGGCAGATCACGAACAGGGCAGGACTGCTGTGGAACACATCTCAAGCTGTTTATTTTCCAGCATCACTCACATTAGATGGTTATGACAATGGGAAGATGCCAGCAGCAGATAAAGAACTTAATGTTACAACTCACTTTAAAAGTTTTTTGGCCAATCACACAAAGCAAAAGCACAGTGACATTAGTTCTATCCAACCACTATAAACACATGTACCTTCTGTTAAAACAATGCTTGCTTATCTCAAATGCAATACCTGCTTGTAAGCCTTAAAACACAATGCACAGAGCTCCATTATTAACCTTAGAACTTCCTCATGTCTTGCTAGATAAATTTTTCTGTAGTTTAGAGAGTTATTCTAGCCAAGTGTTAATACACAGACCATTGTTCTAGTTGTCCTTATTTTCTACATCTTACATAACTTTTCTGCTGACAAATCTCATGGCTCTCACTTAGCTCTAATTGCAGTTCTGCTGTCTCTGAGCCCTGCCTTTTGCAGCTTTCCCAAAACCCTCAGATTGTGGGAATCCAGAAAAACTCTGCCTCGCTGGGATGTGGTGCTGTCAGCAGAGGGCACGGCCACCACGAGGTGACAGTGACAAAGAAATGACAAGGGCTGAGTGGGAGCTGGAGAAATGCCCGGTGTGGGTTCCTCCACGTGCAAAGCCAATTAACGGCGTTCACCTTTAATTGCGATCAGTGGGGGCAGCAAAAAGCCCGGCCTGGAGCCGGGCCCGGCATCGCTGGTACTGCGCGCCGGGGTTAACGAGGCGCGAAAACGGCAGCGGGTTGTGGGAGCAGGGAGCGCACTCCTGCCTCACCTCCGGGCTGCTGTGCTGCCCTCTAATCCCCGCACAGCGCTGTGATCCTCGCCGATAGCATCGCGGTGTCACCCTGCAAGCCGGGATTGTTCTCTGCGGGGAGCCCTGCGCTGATAGGCTTTAATCCTGTCGAGAGGATTAATGCCCGAGGGAGGCAAGGAGGGGCTGGGTTTTGTGCTCAGGCTGCAGCAGATAAGATGTGATGGACATAAATGGCTTTCCTGACACCCTCCTGGGTCCCTGCCCTCGGCACGCACACGGATTTTATGTGTAAGAAAACTGATTAATCCCTTCCCGTGCCTGGATGCTGCCTTTGCAGGGCAGCACAGAGCACACGCACAGCACCGAGCACATGCACAGCACCCTCCCTTCCCCTGCTGGCAGCCCCAATCCTCCGGGATAACCACGGATTAGCCGGATCACAGATGCTCCTGCCCAAAGCTGGGGAGCATTGCAGGCTCTCCCGGCCACCAGCACATCCAGTTTGCCTCCTGCACCACCCGAATTCTCAATTTAGGGCTCACTGCTGTGTTTTTCGTGTCAGTCCTGAGCTTTTTGATCCCTCTGTTGACCCACGTTTGGCACGAAGCCGTTTTCGCTGCTATTTCTGCTTCCCGCCGCCCCCAGCGAGCTGAGAACTGCCTGGATTTTTTGGGTTTTTTTTGGGCTGGAAGTGCCTTTTCCCAGATTTCCTTCCCCAAACGGCAGGGCTTGGCTGGGAGCAGCAGCTCAGGCACATGCACTGGCTGCAGCAGAGAAGTTGGCAGCGCTGCCACTCACGACATCGCTTCCCTCGCCCCGCAGAGCTGAGCCTGAGCACAGGGGGAGCTGCGGGGAGGGGGAGAGGCTCTGCTGCCTCCTGCACGGCTGGGCAGCGACTGAGCTCTGCTGCAGCAGCTCCTGCAGCAGCTCCTGCAGCACACAGGGAGCTCGGAGGGGGCTGGGAGTGGTTCTGCAGCCGCCCCGTGGGAGGGATGCTCAGGGGCTCTGCAAGGGCAGGAGCAGCAGAACAGCAGGGAAAGGCTTGAAAGGACTGGGTTAGGTTGGATCAGGGAGGAATTGTTCCCTCTGAGGGTGCCCAGAGAGCCTGTGCTGCCCCTGGATCCCTGCCCATGGGGTGGCTTTGGGATCCTTGTCACCGATTGTGAGTGGCTGAGCACGACAGAGACAGAGCAAACTGATGCCTGTTCCTTGTGCTCCATCCCTGGATGTGGCCTGGCAGCTCCCCCTGCCACGTTGGATCTGCTCTGCTTGGCTCTCAGTTCATCCCTCCCACCCCTCTCCCACTCCCTTCCCCAGCCCAGCAGCCCTGGCTGGGCTTTACTGGGAGCAGACTGGGAAGTAGGTGTTGCCTGACCCTGGCAGAGCAGGAGGTCAGGCCTCAGTTCCCCAACGTCAGCAGGGACCTTCTGTTTGTGACATCAAAGGGCTGCTCTTGCTCTGCTTCCCTGCTGGCCTCCCTGGGGCTGCTTCCCTCCTGTGACAGCAGGGAGGGGTGGATGGCAGCAGCTGCTTTTCCTCCCCTGTTTTCCATAATCCTGTTTTGCATCCCACTGCTGGACACCTGGAGGGGGTGGAGGTTTGGCTGGGCCCTGCACCATGTGTTTTCTGGAGCCCTTCTCCTCCTTGTCTCTCTCATTTTGGGCTGGTTTGTCTCTGCTGGTTCATTTTCCAGCAAAAAGGTGGAGTGGAGGCAGAGCAGAATCTCCCAGGTGGCTTTTGCAGTGCCTCAAGCAGTGTTGGACAGATTTCCATGGGATAATGTTGGCTCCTTGCTCCCCCAGCCTGAGTATTCCCAGTTTCCTGGAGCTCCACACCTTGCCCTGAGCACATAAATTCTAGAAAATCGGTGAAGGTGACTTTCCCTGATTCTCCAGGATTTGTTGGGCAGGTACATCCAGCAGGAGCAGCAGCAGGAATTTGTCTGGCACAGCCTTTGCCCATCAACTTGCCTTTTTTTGCAGAGGTTTCCTGGCTGCTCCCAGCTTTGTCCTTGTAGGAAAGGCCAAAACACACCAAAAATTTGAGTTTTTCTTCCTTTCCCAGCTCTGTGCTGGTTCAGTGAACTGAGGGGAGAAAAGAAGAGGGGACAGAGGTGTCCTTGGCAATAAGGACATTTTAGCCTTACTCTTTCTCAGGGAAACTCTGGAGAAAGGAGCAAAGTTCTGATTTGGGACAGCTGATGAGGTGACAGCACGGAGACAGGACAGGTGACACATCCCAGTGACCTGTGTCCTGTGGGGTTTGCTCCCTTCCCTCCATGAATCACCACTTTCCTGTTAAAGTGACAAAAAGGGAGCTTTGATTTCAGCCCTCAAAGCTCCCTTTTAAGGTTACAGAGTTGAGAGGCCCCACGTCATCCACAATAAAAACCAGGCAACTATTTTAATTTGTGAAAGCAGAAATGGGCTGAAAATGTCACCCTGTGAGAATATTTCTATTTCCTTATGTTCCCTTTTATATTTATAGTGTTCCAATATTCATAAACGTGTCCCAAAATCCCTTGGAGAGGGTTTTCCCCCCTCCCTCTATCTCTGAAATAAATGCTGATTTAAGAGCAGGGTCTGCTGGTTCAGCAGGGATGAATTAATTCAGGGCTTGAGTTGGAGCTGTGGGGTTCCACTCCAGGAGCCATAAAAGCATCAGAGGGGATCCAGAATTCCTTTTTTTTTTTTTCCTGCAGGGGCCAAGAACAGAGACTGGAGCAAAACTTTGGAGCAGGGTGAGCAGAGAAAAACCCATTTCTAAGAGATTTTCTGCTATTTCTGCAGAAACACCTCTGCAGCTTCTGGCTGTCAGAGGCTGGGGCACTGTCAGAGCTGCGTGTTGGGAACAGACCCCACATGAGGTTTGGCCAATCTGTGGCCTCTGTGTCACCCCTGGGGGTGCCTCAGGTGCCAAGGCTGTGCAGCAGCAGGACAGGAGGAGCTGGGGCACGTTCTGGGTGCCAGCTAAGCTTTGAGGGTTCTTTTTGGGGTGCTTTGGGCAGGAGGAGGTGACCAGGACAGGACAGCCATCAAGGACATTGTCCCCTGATGTCACAGGAGGAGCCACCCCAGCAGGTCCCAGCATTTCCCTGCATGGTGCTGGATTAAAGTTCTGGAATGTTCTGCCCAGTGGGGTGGTGGAGTCCCCATCCCTGGGTGTGTTTAACAAAGCCTGGATGTGGCACTGGGTTTAGCTGAGGTGTTGGGGCTTCATGACCTTGAAGGTCCCTTCCAGCCTGGCCATTCAGTGATTCTGTGAGTTCTGTGGATGTGTGTGCTGTTCCTGGGGAGGGAAGCAGTGCTGGCCCCTCAGGGTCCCTTTGTGGGGTTTTTCTGGCTGCCCTGAAGCTCTGAGCCTGGAGGATTCTCAGTTACACATCATTTAATCACCTCAGCTCCTGCCAGCTGCTGTCTGCTCAGATGAGATCCCAGCTGTTTTAATGCCTTGTGAAGGCTGACCTAGAGCAGAGGCCAGACAGAGCTCAAGAATAAAGCAGGGATTTATTAAAAGGCCTCCATGGATCCCCCTTGGGCAGCACAAGAGCCCAGCCAGGGCTGCACTCAAAATGAACCCAAAATGGTCACAAAAATGGACAGCTGGTCATGGGGTCTCTCACTTTTATAAGTTCTGCTCCGTTTGCATATTGGGGTTAATTGTCCCATTCCAGCTTTAGCCCATGCAGCCCCACCCTGCTTGTTTTTCTCTCTCCAGCCCACGGTGTTTGTGCTCTTGGGGCTGAGATTTGGATCATTTGTCCTTGGTCCCCAGCTAGATCAGGAATTGTTTTCTCTCCCTGCTCTGTGCACAGAGCTCACCATCCCCTAACATGAACCCAGACCCACACACTAAATCTGAAAAAGAGAAAAGCTAAACCTGAGGCATCAGCTTTGTTCTTCCCCCACCCCATTCCTCATGCCCATTTTCCTCCCTGAGCTGATCCCTGTCCCAAAGGGGCCCTGTGGGACCGAGCTGGCCCCACAGCAGGTGACAGGCAGCACCAGGAGGGACAGATGGGACATGGGAAGAAAGGAAAGCCCCTCCCTGCCCAGCCCAGTGCACAAACGAGCCAAAGGATGTCTGGGGACATGCTGCTGGAAGAGATGGAGAGCTCCCCACGTGTGTGCTGGTCCCTGTGTCACCACAGCCACCGTCCCTCTGCGTCACCAGCCCCAGGGTGGCTCTCAGGGGTCACACTGGAGAGGAGAAGCAGGACAGGGCCCTTTCCCTTCCCTTTTTTCCTTGTCTCTCCCTTCCTGTCGAGACAGACACTGCTGCTGGAAGAGCTCCAAGGTCACAGCCAAGGAGTTTGCTTTTCCTGAGCTTGGCTTTATGAGGCCTGAGAGGGCTCTGGCACTTGGCCCAGCAGCCTCTCCAGAGCCAGGTGAGTTTGTTTGGACTCCCTGCAGAAAAATGCAGGCTGGAATTCCAGGCAGATTGCAGAGAGGTCACATCTTAACCAGCTGTGTGTAGGAGGATTTTGTGTCTCTGCTGGGGCTGATAAGGGGGGTTATCATCTTGGTTAGGGGATGGTGGTGCCGGAGCCTCCCTGGGCATTCCAGAGCTGCTGGCAGATGTGGGAATCCCGTTTTGGGGAGCCTGAGATGTGGCCATCCCCATTGCAGTGCTGCCCTGGAGTGCAGCACACAGGGAAGTGTTACAGAGCTTGCAAGGGTTGCAAGGTGAAGAGAGACAAGAATGCTGACCTCATGTTCAGAAAGCTTGATTTATTATTTTATGATATATATTACGACTATACTAAAAAGAATAGAAAAAAAGTTCTCAGAAGCTAGCTAAGCTAAAAATAGAAAAAGAATGAATAACAAAGTATTGTGTCTCAGCACAGAGTGAGACCCAGCTCTGCTGTGAGTAGTCAGTAAATCTAAACATTTACCTGAGACCAATCACAGATCCACCTGTTACATTCCACAGCAGCAGATAACCTTTGTTTACACTTTGTTGCTGAAGCCACAGCTTCTCAGAAGAGGGAAAAATCCTAAGAAAGGATTTTCCACAAAAGATGTCAGTGACAGGGCAGGAAGGCTCAGGAACTGCAGAGCACCTGCTGGAACCTCACAGGGACATGGAGCTCTCATGGTGGGAGTGTGGTGAGCAGAGCCACCCATTCCTGTTCTTTTTGTTGTTCTAACCTTGTTTCACTGGCTGAGACTCCACACTGGATTTTGTTAACTCTGCCTTTTAGGCACCCCTGCCTCATTTCCTGCCCCACCAGTGAGTCCCCTCTTGTGGGAAATGAATTTGTAGCAATTTCTCCAAGTTTGATATTTGTTTACAAATACATACTATGTAAACATATTATTTTTGTTTACATAGTATGTAAACATACACACTTTGTAAACTTACTGTTTGTATGTAAACAAATATCAAACTTGGAGAATTTTCCACTAATTCATTTCCCACGCCCTCTGTGGATGTGACACCTTCAGATGTGATGCTCCAGAGGGGTTTGATGACAAGGGTGGGCTGTGGCTGTGACCAGTAAATCAGATTGTGACACTGCTCTGGAAGGTCCTGGGCAAGCCCCTGGGCTTTCCTTTGGAGGCACAGGAGGAAGGGGACTCCCAGCTGGGGTTTTATGCTGCTCTCAGAATCACTGAGTGCAAATCAGATCGGTCACAAGTTCCCTTCTGGCCAAATCTCTTGAGAAATCTTTTCTAGGGGGCGAAATCTTCTGGGAAATCACATCTTGGGGCCACATGGCTTTCCTGAGTGGTTTGTAAAGCCCTGGGGGTGGCTCTGAGCTCATTTGGGCGCCTTTGGTGGCACTTGTGCTGTCCTTTGCCATGGGGGAACTTGTGCCAACTGCTCAGAGCCCCCAGCCTCAATCCAGCTTGAGGAGGTGAGCCTGGAGAGCTGGGAAGTTCCCAAACTCTGCAGGGCTGTGGTCTTGGGGAGGGATGGTTGAGGTTTTTTGGTTGCTGCCTGCCAGGAACATGAGCTGGGAGGGAGAATTTGGGTGTGGAGAGCAGAAACTGCAGCAGCTGATGAAGGATCTGCTCTGCTCACTTCCCTCCTCACTCTGTCAGCTGGGAAATGAAGGGTCTGTCAGCACCACGAGGAGCTGTGAGGGGATTTCACTGATTGCTGCTCCAAAGCCTTCTCAGCCAGCCTGTTCCCAAAATGAGGACTGGGAGCTCTGATCTTCCAAAGTTCTGTCCCAACCTCCTGGGCTGACTGTCCCTCCCACAGGATTTCCCAGGTGCAGCATCCCAGTCTTTTCTGGGAAGGGTGATGGAAAGGGGGTGAGGAACATGCTCATCCTTTGTGCAGCTCATCCTAATGGAAAAGGGGGTGAGGAACATCCTCATCCTTTGTCCAGCTCATCCTAATGGAAAAGGGGGATAAGGAACATTCTCATCCTTTGTCCAGCTGATCCCAACCTTGTCTGGGAAGGGAGGATGGAAAAGGGAAGGAGGAAAATCCTCATCCTGTGTCCAGCTGATCCCAACCTTGTCTGGGAAATGCTGATGGAAAAGGGGAGAGGAACATCCTCATCCTTTGTCCAGCTCGTCCCAATCTTGTCTGGGAAGGGAGAATGGAAAAGGGGCAATGAGGAACATCTTCATCCTTTGTCCAGCTGATCCCAATGGAAAAGAGGTGAGGAATATCCTCATCCTTTGTCCAGCTGATCCCAATTTGTCTGGGAAGTGCTGATGGAAAAGGGGCAATGAGGAACATCCTCATCCTTTGTCCTGCTCATCCCAGTCTAATCTGGGAAATGCTGATGGAAAAGGGGATGAGGAACATCCCCATCCTTTGTCCAGCTGATCCCAATGGAAAAGGGGATGAGGAACATCCTGATCCTGTGTCCAGCTGCTCCCAATTTGTCTGGGAAGTGCTGATGGAAAAGGGGCAATGAGGAGCATCCTCATCCTTTGTCCAGCTGATCCCAATGGAAAAAGGTATGAGGAACATTCTCATCCTTTGTCCAGTTGATCCCAGTCTAATCTGGGAAGTGCTGATGGAAAAGGAGGATGAGGAACATCCTCATCCTGTGTTCAGCTCAGCAGGGTCCCTCTGGCAGTGTCACACCTGCTTTGTGCACAGCAAAGGTCCTGCCTGGCTTAGCCAGGGCTGAGATTTTTCTTGTTATTCTTTTTTTCTGTGCAAGATCCGCCCTGTTGGTGCTTCCAAGGGTCACATTCCTGGCCGAGGGAAGGTAACAGATCTGTTTTTGTGGATAAAACCACCACGAGCCTGCTCGGGTGCCAAGTGCAATCTGAGCTCTTTGGGTTGCCTGGGCCACAAACATGATGAATAAAACTGTTCCTCTTGGGGAAAAAAAATCTGTGCTTCTGACAAGATTCCTGGGGGAGGCTGCCTCCTGATCCGTGCTGGAAGCGAGGCGCATGATCTGGGAGAGAGCTGCTCACGAGTTGTGCTGGGGAAGTTCTGATCCCAGAGTGGAGCAGATGGAAATTTCTGCAGGAAAGGGCTGAGCTGCTGCCTAGAATCTGATGCTGCCTGCTCTTGAGCTACCAAACTCAATCTGGGAGCTCCTTGCCTGCTTTGGGAAGGGTGGTTTTCATTCCAGCACCTCCTGCACACCGGGCCGGCCTGGAAATGGGGGCTCTGGAGAGCTGTGCTGCTCTGGAGGGTTGGGTTTTCCTGGGGGCTGTGTTCTCCACATCCTGCCCCTCTCCTGGAATTGCTTTCCCAGGCAATGATCTCATGGTTCTGGGAGCCAGGCTCCCCCCTGGCTGCCCTCACCCTTCCCTCTGAGGCTCTCTGGAGCAGCTGGAAGCGCTCCAAGACAGGCTTGGAGCAGCACCCTGGGACAGTGGGAGGTGTTGGGCACCAAGGTCCCTTCCACCCCAAACACTCCTAAAATCCTGGGGGAGCTTGAGTCCTGAAAACTCATTTTTCAGGAGTGGTTTTGGGGAAAAAAATTCCTTTTTCGGGGGTGTTTTTGGGGGAAAAAACTCCTTTTTCGGGGGTGTCTTTGGGGAAGAAAATTACTTTTCCAGGAAGAAAACTCCTTTTCTCCTGCTGGAAACCAAGTGATAACGCGGTCTGGCAGCTCGGGGAGCAAACAGGGACCTGCAGCTGCCCCCAGGGCTGAGCTCAGAACGCTTCAGGGCTGGAAATCACCACGGCCAGAAGTGAGTGTGTGTCTTCTTCCTGTAATTACCCCTCGTAATTACCCCGGCAGCTGCGTGGCCAAAGAAAGGTGAACCCACACACAAAAAGAAGCGCCGGGAAATCCCTGTGGCTCCTTCAAATCCACCATTAGCCGGCTCATTAATTTATTTTTGCTCCTTTCAGCGTGCCCCCCTTGCCCTGGCCCTGCTCGTCCCTCCAGGAGCGGAGCGGGGCCGCGGCCGAGCTTCAATCGCCGCTTTAAAGGGCGCAGCTGCGGCTCCTTCCCGGTGGGCTTCTCCCATTCCGGTCACGTCCCGGCTCGCTCTCTGTGCTCGGAATGCCCCGCTCCTCTCATTAACCAGAGCCACAAAGGCTCCCGGGCCTCCCCGGAGGGACCTTTGCGACAAAAAGGTGACCGTGCCACCCGCGGGGTGTCCTTTGCGGGAGCAGCCGCGGCGCCGAGGTTCGGGATGCTCGGGCAGGGCTCGCCTTCCTGCCGGTGACATCCACTCGGGGATGTCATTCCCCGCCACGTGTGCTCGGGAGAGGGGGTGTGGCAGCGCGGTGACACTCGGGTGTCCCTAGGAGTGGCCCTTTGGTGCTGGCCCTGCTGCATCCCGCTCCTCCTGGATCCAGCTGTGCCGCTCCCCATCCAGCTGTTCCCCTCATGCCACCGCACCTGGCTCAGAGTACACCCCCGTGTCACACCACCCGCTCTCTGCCCCTATTCTCGGCCCTATTTCCGTTCCCCTCTCACTCGTCCCAACCTCGATTTTCCCTCCGCAGCCCCCGCGGGAAGTTCTTGGCAAACCCCGGCCCAGCTGCGACTTTTCCGCGGGGCACAAAGCCACCGACCCCCGCACCTTCCCCTCACCGCGGAGAAGGATGAAAACCCAAAAAAAGACCCCAAACACCCCCGGTGGAAGCTGTGCCGGAGCTCAGGTGCGTTAAGCGAGCTGCTGAGGGTTTTACTCCATCTTCCCTGCGCAGGGCCCGCCCTCCCCTCACCATTGGCTGCGCCGGGGTGCTCGCAGCCTTTTGTACGCGGGGAGATGCAGCTGTCAGCCCTCCCGGCTGCCGATCCCGGCTCGCTCCCGGACTAGGAATGGGCAGCAGCAAGTCGCCTGTTGCCCTCCTGGTGGCCCTGTGGCTCTGCCAGCTGGGCGCGTGGGCAGCGGGGCGCCCCAAGGTGAACCCCAGGATCATCGCGGCTCCCCAAGGTGAGTCCCGGCTGCGCCCTCGGCGTGCGGCCGCTCCCCGCGCCCGCTCCTTCCTACCTGCCGCTCGTCCTTTGAGCACTCGGGTTATTTCTATTTCTTTTGTGTCCTCGGAGAGGCTTTTGGCTCTCGTTAAATGCCTGTGGGCTGAGGCTGTTGGCTTTTATTTGGGTTTTTAGACCGTTCTTTCTTTTTTCTTTTTTATGTTTTAAAAGCATTTTCCTACGAGCTGGGGACATTAAAGGCTGTCGAAAAGCGCTTTTTTCCCCCCGTATCTGCTGGGTATATTAAAGGCTGTCAAAAAGCTCTGACAGATTTCCTAACTTGCAGCTCTCCAGAAAGCAGAAGTATATATTTACATAGCTAATGCACTTATTTATCTGCTTGAACTCGCCCTACTCGCTGCAGACGAGTTCGGGGAGTAAATATTTGCCGAGGACCGCTGCTCTCAGGGGAAAAAAATTACAAACGGCACGTAAGGACTTTGTAACCAGATCGGATCTGGGCGAACCCAAACAAAGAAATGTTTTCAAAGCTCCGAGCCTGGTGTGTCGGCGCTGGTTTCATCCCGAGTTTTGGGATGAATCCCCTCCGGGCTGGCTGGAACAAAGACCCCGTTGGCTTTGCCGGGCGGGCTCTGCAGCACAAGGGCTCCTCTGTTGCTCCCCATTCCCTGGCAACTTCCGAGAACGCCCATTTCCCCCGCTTCGTTCCGTGCCATCTGTTCTCCTCCGCTGGCATTTGCGTGCCCTTCCCCGGGCTGGCAGAGCGGGGAGGGGGGTGCTGGCCGTGTGCGCGGCTCGGGGGTGGCCTCTGCTGTCACCTTGTCACACAAAGGGGAGCGGCACCGGCGCGCAGGGCAGGGGAGGCTGCTCCGCTATGGCGTCACCGGCGCTGGCTGCGGGTGAAGGGGACGGGAGCGGGGACATTCCCCCTGTTCCTGCAGCGGTGTGGCTGGAGATCGAGGGACAGGGAGGGACGGAGTGGCCGATCCCCACCTGTGTCCCTGCACAATGCTGTCACCCGTGTCTGGGTGGCACTGAAGGCTGCTTGCACCTGTCACCGAAACCAATCAGGACATTTCACCTGCTCTCCTTTCTGTGCTTATCTGTGCCTGTAATTATTTCTGAGAACTCGGGAGGGCCCCGGGCTAGAGTAGGACTGCAGTCAGGGAGCGATAGGAGCGAGCCGTGCCCTATTTCACATCTCCTTGGTGTCACCTCTACCCTCCCGAAGTAGGGCAGTGGGTGAGCGAGGAGGAGGAGGCTGAGGAAGCGGGCTGGGGACTGCTGTGACCACGAACCCCCGCTGAACTTCCCGGTGGCCCGGGCGCACTGAAAGCTCAGCATGTTCGGCGTTCCGGGCTCAGCACGTGGCCGCCGCAGCTGCAGCCCGCTCCGAGCCCGGCCCTCGCCAGCCGAGCGGGGGGGATGGAGCCGCAGGGCTGATTTCCAGCTCGCAGCGCTGACTTTCAGCTCGCAGTGCTGCTTTTTAGCTCGCAGGGCTGATTTCCAGCTCGGCCCCCTGTTCCTGGGGGTGGGGAGCGGCCCGCTGCTGCCTTTGCAGTGGTGCAGGGCTGGCCCTGGGCTCTGCGGGAGCTGCCAGCTCTTCCCTAATTAAATTTCTTCCACGCCACGGCCCCGCACAGGCAGCAGGTGATGCGGCTCGGCAAAGGCACCTCCACGTGTCCCAGCCCCGAGCAGGGCCAGGGTGCGGATTTGTGGGGCTGGGCAGAGCCGGGCTCTCTGCAGGAGCGATCCCTGCCTGCCTGCAGCGCAGGAAATCGGGCAAAGCTGCAGCTGCTTCTCCATCCCTCGGCCTCGCTCCCCTCGCCAGCACCATGCACAGTGAGTCTGTGACACCAGAAGGCTCAATTCCACCGGTTTGGTGACATCTGGAGCTTCCCAGGATCCACCAAACCCTGCCCTCCCTGCAGCTCCTGCTGCTCTGGCTTCCAGTTCCCAATAAGAAATAACTGAGGGGATGTGGGACAAAACATCCCCAGGCTGAGCCGGCACAACCCTGGGCTCACCCCTGCAGACAAAGGAGCACCACGGGCCTGTCCTGCTGCTCGGGGCTCCTGCATTGATAATTCCCAGCACTTTGGAGCTCAGTGTTCTGCAGCTCTGTGGCCCCTGCAGCCCGCACAGGTGGCCGTGGGCAAGTGGTCACTGCCGGGCACTGCTGGTTCTGCAGGGCTCCCTCCTGTCACAGAGCAAAGGTCAGCTCCACTTCACTGCTCCAGTCGGTTCTGCTGGCAGGGCCTCTGCCCCGTTCCCTTTGGAGGCTGGCCCGGGAGTGTCCCCGGCCGCTGCCCTTCCCTGTGTCCTGCGAAGAGCTCACGGAGTGTTCCCATCATCCCTTCCCTCCTCATCCTCCCCTGCCTCCCTGGATTTTCCTATGCGCTTTGCCAAAGGTGCAGCCGCATCCCACACGGAGCTATTGCTGCTCGGCGTGTCCCAGGACCGAGGGAGGGTGACAGCGAGGGGACAGCCCAGCCCATCCCGGCTGTCTCCTGACCGGAAAGTCACCGAGCATCACAAAACGCTGAGCGTGGCACGGAGCCTGGGGCGGGCTCGGGCTGCTGCAGCCCGCGGCCTTTGCAGCGCAGGCTGGGCCGGAGCTGCTGCCACGCTCAGCAATTCGTCCCTGCTCAGCCACACGTGCAGAGAGAGCGCCGAGGAAAGCTCATCCCACCGCGGGGTGGGCTGGGCTCCGGCTGTTTAATTATTCCCAGCTCATTAACAGGTGAGCTGCAAGCCGCAGGCAGCAAAGATAAGCAGGTCCCCGAGGGAAGGGCAGGATTATACGCTTGACCCTCGGCGGGGTGAGCTGGCTCCAGCCCGCCCCGGGCTACAGCGGGCCCTTGGATTGGCATTTCTGGGAATCTGCCTGCCTGGAACAGCTCCTGGGCTTTGCTAGGCTTGGCTGCCTCCCTGACTGCGAGAGCTGTGTCAGCAGGGCCGGTGAGGAGCTCTCCGTGCCCTGGCACGGCACGGCTGGGGCCCCCCAGAACCTTCTGGAAAGAGCTGCAGAGGGGCTTGGGATCACGGATAGAGGGCAGGACGAAGGGAATGCTCCCACTGCCAGAGGGCAGGGATGGATGGGATGTTGGGATGGAATTCCCAGAGAAGCTGTGGCTGCCCCTGGATCCCTGGCAGTGCCCAAAGCCAGGCTTGGAGCACCCTGTATGCTCCTGGCCATAGCAGGGCATGGGATGAGATGATCCTTGAGGTCCTCATCTCCTGTTGCGGCAAACGAGGGATTTCTGGTGCCAGCAGCAGCTTTTCTCCTCAGTGACAGCATCTCTGGGGTTTTTTTGTGGTCCCATGGTGTGAAACATCTTTGTAGGACACTTTCCCACCAAGCTCTCAGAGCATCACCATTTCCAGGAGAAAGCTGCTCGCTTTCCCAGCAGTGCTATTTTCTCCTTTTTCACAGGGTTGGGGGATGCTGGGAACTGAAAATGTTGGTTGGGGAAGGAAAAAAAAAAAAAAGGAAAAGAAAAAAGAAATATGTTTTCCTCTGCGCAGATTGAAAAAGAAGAAAAGCAAACCAAACAAATGGAGTGAATCACAGGCACCTCCTGTTGCAAGAGCACGACACAAAAACAACAGGCAGGGCACAACTGATGGAAGTTGTGGCTGGAAAAAGGAGCCAGATGCCAATTCCTGACCAAGCTCCCAGCTCTGCACCAGCCAATTTGGGGACAGAACTGCTGAAAAGCGGCCTGGGAAGGTGTTCTGTGGGTGATGCAGTCGGTGCCTTAAATGGGACAGACTAAATTTAGACACGAGTGCTTGAGTACAAACTAAATCTAAGCTTGAGCACCGAATAAATCTAAGTCCAAGGTGCTTTTTCGGGAAAATCTCGCATCCTAAAAGGGCTGGGAGGTGAGCGAGGAGGGGAAATGGGTTCCAGCCAGCTCCGTGGCTATTCCAGGCTGCTCCAGAAATAGGCCTGGTTCCTCCTGCTGGGCACCCTTTTGCTGCCAGCCCCACCCGTGTGGCAGTGCCAGGGGAGCAGGATGTGGAGGTGTAATTGAGGTGTAGGGTTCGGGTGATACAGCCCTAATGACAGCTCTGCCTCTGTCACCTGTCCCCTCCCCGCCTTGGGTCATTGGGTCAGGCAGCGATGATTGCGATGATTCCCCGTCTCGTTATGCACCGGGGGCAAATATTCCCGTCTGGCAGGTGGGAGGGACGGGCACGGCGAGTTTCGGGAGTTGCCTTGAGGAATTCGAGGCCGGTCCCAGCCAGAGCCCTGCCCTCGCACTGCCCCCGGCCGGGCTGTGCTGGGATCTCAGAGCTTCGGCAAGTCTGGTTTCACATTCCTGCCCCCGGGGCTTTCCGGGCCTGGGGAATGCAGAGCTGCAGCCGGGCCGGACGTGAGGGGAATGGGAAATCCGTGAGGGGAATGGGAAATCCGTGTGCCGGCTCAGCGGGCACACACAGGGTGCTGAGAGGGCACAAACCTGGAATGGCCCGGAGCTGGCACCCACCTGGAGTGAGGGCACCTGTGGGAAGCCTCCAGCAGCAGGAGGGGGCTGGAAGGGCACAGTGGGACCATTCCTGATCCCATTGGAATCCTTCCTGACCCCGATGGAAAGTGCACAGTGGGGCCATTCCTGATCCCACTGGCAAGGGCATGGTGGTGCCATTCCCAGTCTCACTGGGATCCTTCCTGATCCCACTGGGAAGGGAACAGCAGGACCATTCCTGACCCCACTGAGATCTTTCCCTGCCCCACTGGCAAGGGCATGGCAGGGGCATTCCCAATTCTGTTGAAGTCCTTCCCAATCCCAATGGGAAGGGCACAGTGGGGCCACTCCCAATCCCATTGAGATCCTTCTTGATCCCACTGGGAAGGGCAGCACAGAGTCATTCCTGATCCCACTGGGATCCTTCCTAATTCCACTGGGAAGGGCACCATGCCTCTGGGAAGGGCATGGCAAGGCCATTCCCAATCCCATTGGGATCCTTCCTGATCCCACTGGGAAGGGC